GAAGACCTATTGACACGATCATGTTTTATTTTGGTAAAATAAGCATAATCAAGAGCAGTGGTTCTCAAACTTTTTTCATTAAGTACCACCTCAGAAAAACATTGTCTCTACAAATACCACCAAAATGAGCAGTATTGAAATACAGTAGCTACAGCTCTGCACAGTTAAAAAAAAAACATGACAGATTACCTCAGAAATATAGGCTATATGTCATATATGGCATATTCACATAATTTTTGATAAATTTTGAAATGTATGTAGCATGTACATGACATATTTCATTCCTCTGTGTATAACTAGAATTGAGCCAGCATACCACTAGTGGTACACGTACTACAGTTTGAGAACCACTGATCTAGAGGTCTTTGCCTTTCATATAAGCCACTTCTGATATCAAATGATCAACTAGAATTTAAGTTATTATTTGTTGTTGTCATCTGGATAGGCGACAAAACTTTTTGTCAGGTATAGTGTATATGGCCTTCAGCAGTAAAGCAATGTACTTTTCATTGGGAAAATCAGCATGTCTTGTCTGAGAGTGACTGGACTGAGAGATTTAACAAGCTTATTGTGTCATGACCTCTGAGGACAGCCTCAGCTCAAGACAGCAATGTGCACATGACAAAAGCAAAATCTGTGTGCTGGTTGTAAATCTATGTTATTCTATCATAAAAATACTCTTTCGAAAATAACAAATGGTTTCAATTGTCATGATGAATATACAAAGGAATTTAAACATGTCTGAATATACAGCATATTGCTTATTTCAGGCAAACAAATAAATGAATAAACAGAGGCATATTGTTTTAAATTCAGAACAAACATTTCATTAGTCGTTTACAGAATAAAACAAACAACGTTATATTTTATAATGTAATTTTTTGTAGAAATAACATATTTAAAAAGATTGAATACTGCGGTATGTGTGTAATCTCATTTGCTTACATCTATTTAATCTATAAATGGTCATAATAGTGCATCAAACTTCATCACTGCAGGTGTATTTTACTTAAAACTAAATATATTTTTGTTATTGTGTTACTATAGTGACTTTTAAAAAGTCGTTTTTAAAACTAGCAACTACAGATGATAAAAGAGAGAGAGAGAGAGAGAAAGAGAGTGAGTGACATGAGAGGGAGCTTGAGGATACGGCTAGGAAAGACACTATAGTGGCTGCTTGACGTTTGGGATCAGTTCGACTCATCAGTTCTTAATCCAGTAACTCTATCTGACATCGACATGTGCTGAGCAAAGACATAGGCAAACAAATACACACACACACACAGCAATGTTCACGATTCAGCGGTCATGACTGAGGTATTCTCAGCACACGCTACTTAATAGGTGTTGGTTTAATGGCAGTACTGCTAGCTTATGGCAGGTGTGTTTTCTGATTCACAACAACCCAGCTGCATTTAGATTGTTTATTATAATTAGAGCCCAAGTGCCAGAAAAACAAGTAATACAAGACTGATATGAAATACATCAATTAAAGAAGGGCTTGTTGAATGAGAAAAACAGGAGCAGGTGCAACACGATTAGTATGGTAAACATTTTCAGATTGATTATACGTTATGCTATTCCTGGTGTTTAATTATTCAGAATACAAAACAACTACAATAACAATGTTATGATTATTACTATTATTATTATGAATAATAATAATAATAATAACACTAATAATACTAATGGATGCACATTTGTTTGTTATCATTGTTATTATGATTACTTTTAATTTCTTGCAATTTTTGGGATGTCTAGCTGGTAAATTGTTATTTTTATTTTAGATTAAAAAAATGTATGCAAATATTTATGCAAAGTATATTTAATATATAATTACACACTTTGTCCATATTTGTGACTGACAAACTTGTTTGAGTAAATGATTCATTGGCTAATTCATGGACAGAACTTTTTGTTCCTAAATTAATTAGCATTTGTGAAAGAATCAATTCACAGAATGATTTGATTGAATCACTCATTAAAAGATTCACATAATCTGAAACACTTCCCTTTTCACCACAGCATGCAAAACAGTTCATCAAAACGGTAGCATATGGCAGTACACAGTACTCAAAAAACAGTATCTGAAAAGTATCCTGGATGACCGGCTACTTCTAAGGTGATTGTAAACTGCATACGATGAACACTTTTTTTTTTATCCCATGAAGCCATAGGAGGGAGTTTTTGAATGGCAATGAAATGACGAACAACATTAACAACATGGTGACTATGCTGTCCAAATTTCATTCATTCACTTTGTTTTCGCCTTAGTCCCTTTATCAATCAATGGTCGCCACAGCAAAATGAACTGCCAAATTATACAGCATGTGTTTTGTGCAGCTTCCAGCTGAAACCCATCATTGGTAAACACCCATACATTCTTATTCACACACACACATACACTTTGGAAAATTTATCTTACCCAATTCACTTGTACCACATGTCTTTGGAGTTGTGAGGGAAAACAGGAGCACCCGGAGGAAACCCACATAAACACGGGGAGAACATGCAAAATCCACACAGAAATGGCAACTGGCCCAGCTAGGGCTTGAACCAACGACCTACTTGCTGTGATGCGACATCGCTACATGTGCTTTTGCAAATATATATATATATATATATATATATATATATATATATATATATATATATATATATATATATCTACTTCAGATGCACTGACTGACTTTTCACCAACTGCAAGCATAATTAGACTCACCTGGCACTTTATTAGGTACACCCTACTAGTACTGGGTTGGACCTCTTTTTCCTTCAGAACTGCCTTATTCCTTCATGGCATAGATTCAACAAGGTACTGGAAATATTCCTCTGACTTTTTTTCATCCATATTGACATGATAGCATCACACAGTTTCGGCAGATTTGTCGGCTGCACATCTATGATGCGAATCTCAATTTCTCCACATCCCAAAGGTGCTATATTGGATTGAGATCTGGTGACTGTGGAGGCCATTTGAGTACAGTGAACTCATTGTCATGTTCATGCCTTTTTTAAAACTTTCCATACATTTTAAGACCTTAACCACTCCTCAACCAGAAACACTGGCGAGATTTTAACTTACAATATTACAATACTAAATATTAAGAAAATATATTAAATCTAGCAAAATTGGCAGGTTGGCGCCTATAGAACTGCAGTAAAAAATTGTATTGCCCTGGTTACTGCAGTAAACAAAGCAGCGTGATAAGTAATTTCATAAACTACACAGCATCCTGATATTCGCAGATTTAATTCAGGCAAACTTTAGCATACAACCATACATTGTAGAATCAAAAATTTTATAAAAATGTAATACCTTGCAAAATAGCATTTCAAACGTTTAATACTTTTTAAGTCCCTTACATTTCTCTACACTGATTTATCAACTTTTAATACTTTTTAAGACACGGCAGACACCCTGAACTAATTGAAAAGTGCCATTCAAATGCCTACAAATGCAAACACAGACAGTCGAACAGAAACAAGCAACACAGACAAGCAGATTGTCCACTGTGGCGACCTCAGATTAATAAAGGGACTAAGCCGAAAAGAAAATGAATGAAAATAAAAATAAATTAAATATTGGTCAAATTTTAAAATCACACCTCTTTTTTGTCTGTAAATGTCCAGCACATTAATAACTTAAAAAAATATATACATTTATAGCACATTCTATGAGTCTCCTAATTTGCATGGCTCCGTATTTACATCTTCTGACAAGATCAGTCATTCTGCTCTGTTACCTCACAAGGCTTGAGAGCGGAGCAAACTCATGGACTTACAGGCCAAGATGAGATTCAGAGCTCGACCCCATCCTGAGCTATGATCAGATAATGCAGAGTCAAGGTTATATCTAACACGGTCATGACAGATGGTAATAGTCTTAAGACAAGTGTTACAACAACAGCACAACAACAAAATGTTTAAAATGCTAACCAGCAGCCTAAAGGAACATACATTTTAAAAAATTGTACCGGATGATAGAAATGCATAGGTTTTGACTTCGGTTACATTCACACATTACACACAGGTCAAGTAAGCTAGTCGATCCTCACTCACTCACTCACACAAACACACACACACACACACACACACACACACACACACACACACACACACACACACATTTCATGGCAGAACAATTCACAGACCATTAGCCATTATGGTTATAATTGTTCACTGATAAATAACATGTATAACTTTCAAACGTTCAATAAAAACATGAAACACTTCAGGCTGCACATACTGTATATTACAGTAATCATAATGTGTTATAATACACAATGTAATGCAGCACCTAAACATATTAATAACAGCAGACATTGCAATAACTATTCATTCAAAATCACCTTTAAATGGCATAATGATATAATAACATATTAAAATACACAAAAAAAATATTTGAAAGCATTGTAGGATTAGTAATAGAATACATAAACACTATTACTTTGCACAATAATATACAATTAAAGTGATGTGCTATTACAGACGTATTTATCTTATCTGTAACAGTACTGCTTATCAATCTGGTAAGAAAATGCAGACAACCACAAAATAAAAATAGTGCGTCACATTAACAATTAACAGTTTCTCTATAAAAACAGTGGCTCTTATTTGAGTTCACGGTCGTGTATATATCTCTTCTCCTTTGAGAACCTGAAGTGAGTTATTGAGTTTGAGGTGTACAGGTGCGTTGGCAGCGCTGAAAATAGTTGCAAGTACAGTTTGCAGATATCAACAGCACAGCGTATTTCTATCATATTTCTCCTTCAAGATCCGCGACACAACAAACTATTTTATACTTTTACACTGAACGCCATATCCAGCGAGTTACATACAGACGCTGAAATGTTTTGAAGTGTAAAGACAAATCAACTTTAGAAAATATACACAAACGTTGATCATATGTGGCTTAGTTTTACAGTGAAGAAATATGACCGTTGTTTTTCTTAAAATTCGTAGTAAATGTGAGGGTAGAAATGAATGACGGTACTTACTCGATGTGAGGGTGGATCAGCTGTGCGCTCGGATCAGCTTTGACAGCCGCGCACACACACTCACACAGCCCAAAGGGCCAATGAGAGAGTGCGAAAATACCTTTTAGGGTGAGCACACACACACACGGGGAGAGAGAGAGAGAGAGAGAGAGAGAGAGAGAGAGAGAGAGAGAGAGAGATAAAAATACCCGGCACCACCAGGGCAGCATTCCTTTGCAAGGGGCCACAGCTCAGTCCATTAAATAGCCACTTAAGGTCGCACTCAGTATTTTTGGCTAATTAAGAAAAAAAAACTGCAAATGTATTCGTTTAAGGGAGACATTGCTGTCCACATGGGTCACAATTGCGTATGACGTCACGCAACCCACATAGAAAAAGACAAAACTTACTTATAATATTGGATTAAACTTTCATTGGTTATTCATCGCTAAATATTACCGGGATTCTTGTTATCTTTTAAGAATATCCTGTTGGGTTTCAATACTGCCGATGATAAAAGTAAGGAATATTTCATTATTAATCTCATTTTAATTCTTGCTAAATTCCATATACACCGCTGTAAATTCTCTAAACGCATACCTTGTTTTATTGATTTTGAAAAGGAACTTCAAAAGTACATTAAAACTATTGCTGCCTCTAAAAATCTTAAAGCTATTAGAAGTGTTAATTTATTTTCCTTTTTTTTTTAACACGTTTTATATTATTAGTTGTTCTGTTTTAGTTTATTTTCTTTTTGTATGTGCCTATTTCATGCTTTACTTCTCTGTAAAACTCATGTCACAACCTTTGTAACAAATTTGTTTGATGTTGTTATTGTTACCCTGACATTATTTTAAAAAAACTTAGTTATTATTTGACATTAAAAGATATAAATTTTAATATTAAAACAACTTCAACAAAAGTCTTGAATATATTGTTAATCTTTTTATTTTATTGGCAAAATTTTTATTTACATACACAAACAGAAATTTGCTAAATCATCTCCCACATTGTTTTTTGAATCGACTTTTGAATCGACTGTTGAAAAGCAAAAAGGTGTGTATCAATAATCATAACACATTTTTTAATCCCTTGATAATTTTATAAATCATTGGATGTAGAAATACTGTAAACTTTGCTGTATTTAACTTATTTTGTTATTCCAATTTATTTCTATTTTTATGTTTCATCTTTTATATTGTGATGTATGTTTGTTTGTCTCTGATGGTTTCCTGGATTATTATTATAATTATTTGAAAATTATAGATACAAAAGGTTTTTTTTCCTTTTGCTGTTTTTGTGTTATTTATGTACGTCTGTTTATTTTATTTTTTTATGTTTATATGCGTTTATAATAATTTTTAACCTGATCTGTTAAGTTACTATAATCCTTACTATTACTGTCTTTTTTGTGTAAGCTCGAATTTTGTATGTACCTTGTTTCGTAACTTAACAGAATTTAGGAGTCAAAACTGCAAAAGAAATTACAAAAAAAAAAGGTTAGCAGTGTTTGATACTGGGCTTTTTATGGTATCCTGTCCCGTTTTGGTTCATTTTAGATGTCTTTCATCTATTCATATTTCAGTACAGATGATTTTAGTGGTCTCAGTCCGCTTGTTTAGTGCCCTCTCAGATTACCCAGAGTTCTTTATTAAAATAGAACTAAACCTGCTAAGTGTGGACACATCTTAGGAAAAGGTTATAGATGTGTGTAAAATGAGAAAATAGCACATAAACAAGAAGAAAAAAAACTTTGGTTATTAACACATTTAGGAATCTGAGCTGACAGGTGACAGTAAGAGCAAAACTGATGTTATTAGGACACACAATACATTTTAAACTAAATGGAAATTTAGCATAAATAATGAATGGACTCGCTGACCTGTCTGTATTAGAACTCTTGGGTACAGCAGATGTCATTCCATGGGACTGAGCCATGTGCTTTTGAAACAAACGCAGCTTTATTTTGGCATGGCTGCCCTCTTGTGGGCACCTCCCAACAACTATGGTCAGAAAGACGCTTTGTTGGCTCTCTAATGAATAATAAAATGGAAATTCTTTACTAGTGATCACAAAGATTAGTAGCAAACAATGTTTAAATGCCAGTTTTATTACTAACAGAACAGTCAAATGTGCATTCAAACACAAATGTAAAATATTTGTATTTATTTGAGAGTTCATAATAACTACTCAGGGTCTCTTAAACTATTGCTGGCTCTCGCTTGTGTTTACCTTAAATTCATCAACAACAGAAAACACAAAACGTCAAACTATTTGATCAGAACCTCAAACACGACCTGCCTCTTAAAAACACTTCCAAATGAAGGCAAAACAAACTCAAAATATGATCACACTATCAAAAGTCAGCTCTCAAAAACAACTAACTGAAAACAGTAAACGTACCTGTCAAACAACCAACTGTGCAGTAACATACACACAAATGTCATTATTAGTTAAGTCACTATTAAGAAAATACAAATCCTCATTTATCACCTATGCAAAAACATGGACATATGCTCCAAAAATATTGTATGAGTGCATCTGTTTATCATCAGAGAGCCTTGGAGATGTTTTCAATCTCCACCAAGAATGCTTGTGCCTTTAGTTTAAGAAATTAGGAGGAAAAAGCGTGATCTGTGGGTTAAGGATTGGACTTCACTTAAGTCATTATCTATATTTTGTGGCAGAATTATTCTCAGTGCATGCCAGCCTGCATGTGGGAGGGGTCTAATCATGTAACTCCACCCTCTTCACTCATCTGTCATTTATCTTCAGAGTTGCGGACTGCCAGGTAAGGATGGGCCAAAGCTTCACAGGCAGAGATGCGATGAACTGGATTGAATGCCAAAAATTGCTGTATGGAAAAGTAATGCAAGTATAAGCACCAGTGTCTAAAATCACTCTCCATATGAAAATAAATTAGCAACACATACAGACAGTAAGCCATTCTCCTCAGGGGTAAGGCTGGCCAGCACTTGTGTTGCAGGTTTTTTTTCAACCAAGGCAGGACTGTAGCAGACTGGGCTTTCCACAGGCCAGTCCTCCTTACCCGGCAAGCCAATTACCCTGTGAGAAAGAAAACATACAGGATCACAAATAATAAAGGGTGTAGTTTATGAATGAAATTGATTTTACTTTTTATATATACATGTTAAATGCCCTCACACCCAGAGGATTACGTTTAGAATTTGATTTGAATACATTTTTGTTAAGTTTTCCCCGCTTTATACATTCTTGATTTTTGTGCAAATCATCTGGGTCCAGTTTTTATTTTTTTACTTTAATCTGGATCAAACCGGTCCAGTATTGGAAATCCCAAGTTTTGCTATCCCGGATTAACTGATCCATCGTACGTCTATGACAGTGTTTTAAAAGAACATTGGGTTTAGATCATCCAAATACCAAATTTCAAGATTACCAAATCCAGTTTACCAGAGCCTTAAAAGAAACCACCATGTAGCCTACTGGCTTACCAAAGAACCGCAGGTAGGCAAATTACCAGTCCCATTAAAGGGCACCTATGGTGAAAAATCTACTTTTCAAGCTGTTTGGAAAGACATGTGTGCAAGTATAGTGTATAGACCGTCATATTGGGGTGATATAAACACACACAGTCCTTTTAATTAATAACTTAATTAATAAGTCCCTTTAATTTTAATTTAACAACATAAAAACAGTGGACCAATTGGAGCTGTTTTTCAGACTGACCGCAACTTGACGTAGGATTGCGGTCTCCCGTGTACACAGCGAGCTGTGTACAAGCCCACAACATAAGACTTCTGAACACATTATAGTAAAAACATCTGAACTGTGTGTTAAACTGAACCTAAACTGGCACACTCAGAATAACCATAATATAAATATTAATCATAAAAAAGTGGTAAACTATGTGCCCTTTTAAACAGCCAGTTTGATTTAATGTCAAGAAACATACACATTGTAACCAACAATTATTTTACATATTTATTTATTATAATTTGTTCTAATACAATACTGCTTTGACATTGTTTTGTTGTCGTTGTTTACCATATCTCATTAGATGTGACATGCTTAATATAGGCTTCATACTGTTTATAATGGAATTTATATCATCACTAACCATTAAGTTTGTGATTGTTCACTTAAAAATACAACTTTTTATGTTTTAATTGGTTCAGAAAATCAACTGAATTCACCCTTCTGGTGGGATCATCATAATCCTGTTTTGTTTTTTGGATTAAATTGATCCCAGTCTGAGATCAAAATTTTGACTAACCCAAAGGGCAGGTTTGATCTAAATCAAATGTAAGATTTGATGATATGGTCTGATCTTAATTCAAAATTCCCGTTACATTTGAAAAACCCATTTCCAAGATTTGATCCAAATTTCCGAGAGGGGTCTGGATGCAGACCTGGTGCAGTGCAATCTGAGCTGCATCCAATGCTTTTTAATGGGCTCACACAACCCCATCCCTAACCCTACCCCTTACAGTGACGCCACTCACTCCATTTGAGTGCATTGTGTGTGACATTGTATCGCAGAGTGCTGCAATCTCAACTTGCATCATAAAGGCTGCATCTAGATACTATGGGAAATTCCACTGGATTACTTTTGGAAATCTGGGCACTGTTGATTGGTTAATTAGGATTATTGTTGTTTTTCCTTGTGATGTTGTTAAAAAGATACAGCCAAAGTTTTCTTGTATTTCCTGTGTGACCTGATAAAGAGCATGTAGGTCAAACTGATGTCTTAAATCTCTTTTTTTCAGAGCAATAGTGGCAGTGTGATGATTTTGGTTTATTTATTATTTTATTTTGTTCAATTTAATCAAGGCGATTTAGTCTGCTGTGTCGATAAGTCAGGGACTAACTAATTTAAATTAATCCAGTCAACATTAACCACACATAAGCTTTTTGACTCACTCAAAGATCTTTTGCAGCTGTTGGATCTCTGTGAAGCCACGAAACAAAGGCCTGCCAAAAAGTTGAAAAACAAAAATAAATCCTTTATGTCACTTATAATCCAAATATTAAACTAAAGCAAACGCAAACTTGCTTGATATTCTCAAAATCATAAATATAATTAATCAAGGCAAATAAAAATGTGACCCAAACTACATCACATGCAGGTGAACAAGGTGAGCTCAATTAATGCAAATAGACAATATGAAACATCTACAAAACTGTTGACTATGAATATACAGTCTCTTTTACTAACAAAAGCTTCATGTATTTGATCAAACGTACAGTGTAATCGTAACACTGTAATAGGAAAACTACATCTATTTAAAACAACTCTTTTCTACAGAATATATTCTGAAATTTAAATTGATTACTCTATTCTTCATGTCACAGTACTCAGTCACAGGATCCTTTCCTATTATTGCAGTGTGTGTGTGGAACTATGATGCATTTTGTTTCAGGAAACTTTTATGCACATAAATCTACAAATAACTGCATCTATTTGAAATAAGTAATTCATATAATCTTCTGTAACATTATAGTTACTATGTACTCTCATATCTGGTCTGTTTAACGCATCCTTCCAATTATTAAAGTATATTATTGACTCCAATAGAATGTCTGACTCCCACCTTAAGAGAAACAGCTCTGCAAAGATACACCCAGCACTCCACATGTCCACTGAAGACATGTAACTGGACTGCAGCAGGACTTCTGGAGCTCTGTACCACAAAGTCACAACCTACACACAAACACAACATACAAATACGTTGCATGCAAGATCTCACTACCACCACAACACATACTGTAGTAAAAGTGAATGAGAGGTGCATACACATGGAGTGAGGGCGATGCGGTAGGTATATATCCTGGCTAAACCAAAGTCTGCAATCTTGACTTCCCCTCGACTGCTCACGAGCACATTGTCAGGCTTCAGGTCCCGGTGAATGACGGAGTTGGTGTGGAGGAAATCAAGACCGCTGAGCAGCTGACGCATCACATCCTGCATACACAAGTGTAAAACACATCCGAGCTATGGTCTGTCATTTATACTATACAATGTGACAGCATGCGTAATATATTCCAGCTAACTGTTGATCGGTGATAGCATGGATTTTATCATGGATGTCCGCTCCAGTATGGAGTAACACATATCCTTTCCTGTATGTTTTTATGATTATTAATAATAAGTAGAATGTTTAAGAGCCTAGATTATATGATGACCTTAGTGTCATCCCACTTCAGAGTAAAACTGGAATAATATGTGTGTAATTGCTTTTCTTTATGCCAAAACATTTGTTTCCTCAGGATCTACCCAGCCAGGTCAGAGGTCATGGAGACCTCTTGAGTGGACCTGGACTCTTGAAGAATTGTAAACAACTGTTCATATTGTTATTTGCTCTGTGTTAATCATGGCTAAAGTGATTTGGATGTAGATTATACCAGTTTTAACCAGTTTCAGCTCTAAACAGGCTAGTGGCTGTCTGGTTTTTCTGAATGAATTAATTAATTTATTAATTAATGAATGGATGAATGAACATACAAACCTTTATTTTGTCCTTTGCAAGGCCTTTCTCTGAAGCCCTACTGAGAAATGTGGTCAAATCCTGATCGATATACTCAAACACCAGCGTCATGTCAAACTTATGATTCTGCCATCCTGCCGAAACACTCATCAACCTAAGGAGAGACGTCATAATGGTCTGAAAAACTGACATTTCGGAACCTTTGTGGTATTTCGATAGTTCCAGTACTCACTTGACTATGTTGGGATGGTTGAAGTGCTCTATTTTGCGCAGAAGAGCCACTTCTCGAATCATGAACTGAGGTATGCCGGACTCAGGTTCTTCTGGGATGTTCAGTCTCTTCACTGCTATCAGGCGCTGCTGCTCACGCTTCTCTCTGGCTTTGTACACTTTCCCGTAGGCACCCTGGCCGATTTCTGCCAGAATTTCATAATCTGAGTTCTCCCACCAGCTGTCAGCCATCTTAAATTCAGATCAACCCAGTCAGTCTGTGACAGACACTGCAACATACAGAAATATAGAGAGTAAAAAAGCCAGGCACATATCAAGCTTTAGCAGATTGTGTTATAATCAGTGTTGGGTGTAATTACTTGTGTATTTTTTGTAAATGACCAATAAAAGGGTAAGGGATTACTGAAAAGTTTAAGGTCGTTTAACTACAGTTGTTTATAATGTACTTTCATTATATTAAACTGAAAAAAGGTTACATTCGTTAGGTCACATTTGCTTAAGAAATGTAAGAATTTGAAATGAATTAAGAATATAAAATGTTTCATAAAGCTAAAAGGCCCTGTTTGACTCAAATTTAAAGTAAAACGTTTAATTTCTGAATGCATTGAGATTTTATGTAGTGTATAATGACTTACACTACTTATAAAAGTCTTTTAAAAACTATTATAATGATGCAATTACTAATTAAATACTTTTTTTAAAGTAACAACACTGGTTATAGTTATAACCGAAAATATATTAAAAAGATAATTAATGTATAAGTACTAAATCCTAACGATTATAAGTTTTGGATTCTGATAAATCTAAAGGACTGCTACTGACAGTGTTTTTCGTTTAAATTTGTGCAAATATTAAAAATTTTGACTTGACGTAGTTAGATATTTATTGGTATAAATTCCACATGGATCGACTGACAATGATGGGAAATCCTTTCCGTCTATACATCATGATAACATCGTGTTTATTGACTATTTATCATAATTAAAACTGATGAGCGTGCACGGTGTGCAACTGGAATTAGGTACCGTAATAAATAGGAACTTACCTTGCGTGGCAATCCACTATTAAACCTTGAGCATGGACATCAAATGTATTAGTGAAATGATTAGAGAATTGTCTACTAATCTGGATTACTGACACGATTAAAACGCGTGGTTTGCCATGATTTTAATAAACCTCGCGACGCAGGCAGGGGTGCGAGATACCTCCAACCAATGAACAGCTGTGATTTTTGTGTTGAATTTCCCCTTCTCGTTTAAAAAAAGAAAAAAAATAATAATTTGCTTATGTGATTAAAATATTTACATCTATGCAATGCTAATGTTGACAAATTTATTATTGTATAAAAAATACATAAATAGCCCTACTCTGCCAAACTCATGTAACTCATGTCACATAAAAACAGAATTTGGATTTTAATAATAATTTCCTAAAGTATTTTAGGATATTTGTTAATAACAGAAGTTAACGTAAATTGATTATTTATTAAATGCAATATCTGCCATTTTGACAAGCCTCAATCCAGACGTCACACTGCCCCCTTGATGTAAGAGCAGAAACCCACAATGATTTGTTGTTCAAGTGAAAATGTTTATTCGGTATGCACAAGCATCCATTGAATTAGCACATTTAGTGTACAAGTCTGAAAAAAATCACAGCAACCTAAAAAGGAAGCACACATGTAAATGTGAAGTTGCATTCATCTTACATCTGCATGAAATTCCCTGAATACAGACATATGAACCACTGTAGAGCCACAATAATTCAAATCAAAAGACACCATTTTAGTTCATGCTCAGTTAGTTAAAAACAAAAAACACACAGTACCAAGTGCATTACTTCTGCTTGCTTAAAAATATTCAATTGCATTTAAAAAAGTTAGTTGGATTTAAGAAAACTGGAATTTTTTAATCAACACTTTTTTATTTACAAAAATAATTCTATTATTTTAGTAAGTCCATTTATTGAATCAACTAACGTATTTCCCTTGATTTAAGAAGTAGATAAAAAATTAGAGTTGTGTGTTATACCAGTAAGGCTCTGCAGTGTATTGTTACTGTAGGCACTAGGCAGTGGTTCATTTCTTTAAAAATAATGCAGGTTCTCCCTTTGTTCTCCTTCTCGAGAGCCATACGTGATATGAATGACTATCAAGATTATGTAATACTGATCTTTATGTTTTCTTCTTGTTGTTGCCATTTTGGACTCTTTTGGCAAGACTGAAGGCTTCTAGGTGTAGATTCCGGTTCAGGATGACAGAACCGCAAGTCAGAGCTCCTGTCAACGCTCCAGCAAAACCACACAACATCAGATCCTGACCTGCAAGCGAAAAACACATTTGAAAAAAGAAAAGGGACAACCTAGAGATCTCAGAACCTTTACTGGCAGAGATTTTTGACCATTTTAAACCGCAAACACAAAAATACAACTGTAAAACTATAATACACAAACCTACAGTACATTAAAGTGAACAGGATAGTTGTGTCAACATTTGCTCATCCTCTTATCATTCTAAACCGATAAAGCATTGGTTAACCTATGAATAAATCAATGAAGATAAGACCAAATCTTTCGTATCAAATTATTTAACTCATAAATTTATATTTACAATGATTTATGTTTCTTCTAAATTGGTTTCCTGGACTTTCATTGAAGAGACGGAATGAGGAGAAACTTGAGCAAGTGATGACAATCTGTTTTTGGGTCAACCATCCCTTTAAAGTGAACAACTGTTTGGTCTTTAATAACTTTTAATGCTTATTTTGCTTATATAAGCCATTCGCCAAATAATGTTATATACTGGTTACTTCACAAAGAGAAGTAATAACTACTTGTGCCAAAAACTCAGCTCTGTAGAGAATTTAAGCAATGCAGAAATTCCTTTAAAGCAAAAAAAAAAAAAACATTCTCTTTTGATACATTATTTATAGCCACAGCCATATCACCCTGTAGCCCAAGAGAGGCTAACCACTGAAGCTAAGCAGGGCTGAGCCTGATCAGTACCTGAATGGGAGACCACATGGGAAAACTAGGTTGCTGTTGGAAGTGGTGTTAGTGAGAGATATAGTCTAGATCATATTTTTTAATGACACTGTATAACAATAATTAATATTTTTACAGTACTGTGACGGTTGAGTTTAGGGTTAGGGTGGGCTTAGGGCAAAAAAATACAATTTATAGAGTAATTTAATAGATAACATAAATAATACTCGGTACAACTACTGTTTTTACATTACTGTGACGGTTGGGTTTAGAGGTGGGGTGGTAGTAGACGTTAATGAAATACAATAAATGGGAAATTTCATAAATAATAGAAACAAATTGTGTTAACTTCCAGACGCATCCATATCCGATCTAGCAACAACCTTAATCTTAATCTGCAGCCTGTGTGAGTCCTAATGCCCCAGTAAAGTGAAGGGGACACTATACTGTCAGTAAGCACTGTCTTTTGGACGTTAAACCTCTCTGTGTTTATTAAACCATCTCATAAAGTGTAGAGGTGTAACCCCGGTGTCCTGGCAAATTCTCTCCATAGGCCCTGTGGCTGCTGTCACATCATCCAAATGGATTCTGCACACTGGTGGTGGTGTGGAGAGAACCCCCTCAAGATTGTGAAGCATTTTGGGTGTATGGCCATACACAATAATTGCACTTTATAAATACACACTTACATACTTACATACTACATTAACACATCACCCTTAGAGCACACAATCTCACTAAAGTGTTTGTCATAACAGCATTACAGTATTTGCTTCTTTGAGACAGGCAAATGGCCCAGTGAAGAACCCGCAAACTGAGAAGGAATAGATCCACAAACCATTTTGTCAACAAATTCTCATCTTTTCTAGTTTGCGCAAGTTTGTTATTTTCAATGGAGATGTGTGACTTGCTGACATATCCATATTCCAGTCATATCATCTTATGTGAACACAAATTTAAAGGGGAATGATAAAAACAATGATGTTTGAGGTCCATTGTATGCTATTACAATGCACTAGAAACTTATTATTAAGCTACGCCAAGGTATATCCAAGTATTCATTATATGGCACCTTTAAGTCTTGAAGATGTACATACTGTGAAAAAGTTTAAAATAAACTGCTTTTTCAAGTAGAATTACACCGACTGGAAAAAAAACATGATGTACAATACAAAGAGATCTGTTAATATCTGTAATTTTGTGTTTTATGATACTTTAACCATTTTAAATGGGCTTAACCTGAAGTTATCATCATTCTAAACACCACTTTTAACACTCACCTGTAAGGTAGAGGTTTTTAATGGGTGTCTGTGCTCTAATGGTGGCATTCAGTTCAGCACTGAAGCGAGGAATTCCATGATCAGCGCCATAAATCTCTCCCCTAGGTGCGGCAATGTAATGCTGATTAGTGATTGGGGTGCCTGCATCCACATATTCAATCTACAAACAGAGAGATGGAGAAAAACAAAGAGAAAACAAGATAAGTGCATGAAATATTTGCAATTTAGAGTTAAAATTCCAGTTTGGAGAATTTATACCCTGTCCTTGATCTTCGGATAGATCTCAGTCACTGCCTCTAATATGTAATTGATGAACAACTCCTTCAACTGCTTATAATCTGTGCTTCTGTTCTTCACTTTGTCATCTTTCCATTCTTCAAACCATTCATAGTTAGCAAAACTAACAACAGTCAGGGTGGATTTACCTGTAGGCGAAGAATATTTGGATTTAGCAAGCAGAACTGTCAGTTATTATAATGGATAGCTGATTTGATTACTGATTTCTAGATATGGACAAGCTACAAACAACTTAGTCTATTTGATAACAGTTCCAGATGTTAACAGGGCATTGATTTATCTTTAGTTTGTCTCTTTACCTGGTGTTCTTTCTGGCCAGGTTGAGTCTTTGGCAGAGGGTGAGGCCACAAAAATCAGAGGATTCTTTTTAGCAGATTCTTCCCTGTTTCCGCTCCTATAATCCTCCAACCTGGAATAACAGCAGACATGAACACAAAATGAAAATCTGTATACAAATAAACAGAGCACTTTTAGTTTATTCAGGACTGGTAAATTTGCACTCACAGCTCGTCTATATTGTTCTCAGGGTAGATAAAGTAATTGTCTGCTTTTAAGCCCAACTCCTCTTTTGTCCCATCCAGGCCAATGAAAATGCTGAGACCACTGTCTCCATGCTGCAGCATACTCAACTGTTTCTGAATTGCTGTAGAGGATGAGAATAAAAACAACACCCAAAAAGGTTGTCAATTCACATCAGTAATAATAATACAGGTGGGCCGCGAGATTAAAGTTAACTCTCAATATTATAGCATCATTTTTGGATTTCATTATAATATGCTATATTAAAATGATCAAAGTAATGCACTTTCTCCTGATCTCTGACTGATTGCTTCAAACTCAGCGCAAGAACAGACTCATGATCGCTTCTGCAACACGCACACGTAAGTCTGTTCATTCACAAACTACTGTATGCGTGAAGTGAAAGTGAAAGCATTTCTTTGTCTATTTTTGTGTGAACTATTTAATATATTCACATATTCCGTTTCAACAGATTAAGGGTGTTTTACTGTATTTTACATTTGTGTTTATTCAATAGTAGACACAATAGTAGATATTCAGTCAGTCCAGTTTAGAGCAGAAGCTGGTCGTTTGCAATATCCCTATTGACTTGTGTTTCTCTTTAAATCTGTGTATGTTTTTAAAACATTTATTAATTAATTAAATTATATATGATATACTGTTAGTTGTACATATAATTCAATTTAAATAAATTACGTTTTTTTATTTTATTATATTTTCTATAATATAATATAATATAATATAATATAATATAATATAATATAATATAATATAATATAATATAATATAATATAAAATAATATAATATAATATAATATAATATAATATAATATAATATAAAATAATATAATATAATATAATATAATATAATATAATAAAAATGTTTGTTAATAAAAAAGGTTTAAATGAGCATTTCATACCAAACAATTTAGAAAACATGTCAAACAGGTGAGCCTTCAAAAGTTATTCAGAGAAAGAAGTGGGCCCCGCAGTAAAAGAGGTTGAGAACCCCAGCTGTATATGGATTGCACAAGCCCAGAATTTACAGTTTGTGTTCATATCTCTTTTTTGTTCTGTTAACATATGATCCAAATATCTGTAGCTTGAAACAAAAGATAATCTGACCATCTTGTGCTGTGTTTCTCTGGAAATCCTAGTGAGCTGCCATCACAGCAGTTTATTTAGCTCGACAGGCTTCAGCACAGGTCACATGACTGAAAACTATCAAAAGCAAAATAAATGTAGTTTCTCTCTCTCACCAGGCATAGTCTGCACATCTTTGGGCAGGAGATATTCATAAGTATTAAAGATTCCAGCATCTGAAATCACTATGGGAGCTCGTACATGCACTTCCTCCTGTCCTTTCAGAACACTCACACCTGCATCAATGCCAAAAAACAGATCATTTATGAGTTGAATGAACTTTAACAGTGTTAAAATTCTAAGTTGTCTTGGAAAGTGTTACCAATAGCCTCTTTAGCATCATTGAGGAGAATGCGGTTTACAGGTGCTCTAACAAGCACAGCACCTCCTGCCTTCTCAATAATGGGGATCATGTGGTAGGCGATCTCAGTAGCACCACCCTTTGGGTACCAAGCACCATTCATATAGTGGTTGACAATCAAACTGTGCATGGAAAAGCTTGCTTCTTTGGGTATTTTACCTGTTAAAAGAGAAAAAAAAGAGTTTTGGCACCAAATATGGAAAGGATTTGCATTCAACAACAAATGTAAATCTTCTGTTAAGCCAGGTGATCGCACCATAGGTTCCAAAGATGTAGGAGAGCACGGCTCTCAGGTCCTTATTCTGTGTAAGCTCATTCACCACATCCGTTAGGCTGCGGGACGCATATCGAGAGAAGGAAGTCAAGCGATTGGCCAGACCCGTGCGCACCAGGAAATTTGCAATAGGGGTCGGGAGAAATTTCAGCAGGACCATAACCCATACACCTTGTCCAACTTCCTGAAAGGAAGCATTAAGAATCAGAGTTACATTTCGAGCTTCATGACACTTATATTTTCCCTAAAACTGGGTATTGCTTAGGAGTAAAAATAAAAGGGAGTTTAAGTAACGCTAGGCTCAGACTACAGGAGATTTAGCATCTGGGAAAACATTTAGCCAAAAACTTTGGTAAGCTCAGATGTTCAGCCTATATTTCTGGCATTGTGAGTGATTTATAGACTAAAACTTAAACCTCCAGATCTACTTGCTGACATATTGCATCTGATTTGACATTTATCAAATGATGTTTTGGATTTTAAAACAGGATGATAACAAGTGTTATTTATGTCCATTTCTTTCCAATGCAAGACAAGAAAATGACAGAGCTTTTTGAAATGGTGATGCCAAAGATGCCACCATAAATAGATGGAAGTGGATGGACAAAACACTTGTAGAAAAATCTGTGCAATGTATTTTTTAAATGCACCACACATTTATAGGAGAAAAGATGATAGAAGGGATAAAATGTCTATAAAACACAAGTCTAAAAGGCAACTCCTAATTCCACTAATAGTGTGACTTTTTTACTGTGGCATCGACTGAAATTACATGTTCCCTGAGCAATTACCACCACAAAACACTCAAATGAAACTGTGAATTGACACAAAGTGCAAAACACACGGTACTCTTTTAAAAAAAGAGGACAGAATCCTTTTTATGCAAGTTTCTTTGAAATATATAAAACGACACCCAAGACTCTCAGACACAAAGTATTTAGGTCAACCAACCAAAGTGGGTGAAGTGTCTACCAAAGTGGTTGAAAGTCTTTGTTAATAAAGAAAAAAACAACAACTGTATTTAGTTGCATTTCTACTGCTGTTCCAAAAGGCATACTCATGCATGCCACAGCTGGTCAAATTTCTAAGGTCACTTTCTGGAGTTCAATGGACCTTGTTGGCACTTCCTCTGGGCCAGTGGTAAAGACATTGTGACCCAACAAATATCTTTGTCCAAACCAGGCCTTTTGGGTCTTGAGAAATAGCAATGAACAAGAAGGTTTTCTGACAAAAAATTGAATTTTCACGTTTTCTCCATGTAAATAAACAGACTGACATCTGTTGCTCTAGATAAAACCGTAGTAGGGTAAGGTGAAAGAAAGTGCTAAAACCCTTTCAAATCCCTTTTTTCCGAAATAATTGCAAAGTAAAAATAAGAATTTATCCATACTTTTTTTTCTTTACATCTTTAGGCTTATAATGGAGTTCAAAACACCTATATTGAAACCTATAATGGAGTTCAAAACACCTATATTGAAACCTATAATGGAGTTCAAAACACAGTTAGCTCCTTGCAATAATTTTGGGTCTGACCATTCTTTCTGCATAACTAAATTGTGCATTAACAATCATAAAAGCATGAAATAACATAACTAGTTATGAGGCGATAGTTTGTCAGTTCATGTGGAAGCATGCAATGTGCCCATTCGCCCTAGATATCACAACACTCTCGGATAAGTGCCTGTCTGTGAATATGATTGTGGGGGAAAGGTCATGCAATCAGCTGCATAGTTATAAAGATTTCACCTTTTATTTATCTTATCTTAAGGCATTACAATACTCTAGAATTCCAGAGCACTGAAAAAATAAAACTACATTACCATTAAGTAGCCATTCCATTTTAAATGAGGCTTTATATTGATCAAATGCAACATTAAATATGTTTATAATGTCAAAGAGATTAATTATATTTAAAATAAATGCTGTCTTTTTACTTCACTTTTCAGGTATTCTGAATAAAGACCAATTCTACCCCTTAGCCCTGCCTACCTCTCATTTTGCACATTCACATGAAGGGGTAGGTGTGTCCCAATACTATTTAGCTTTAAGGTGTAGGGCTAAAGGGAAGTATTTTCCAGGACCACACTTAAAGTCAAGGGGTATGAACATTTTACAGAACACACCATATACAGCAAAATGGCTGTGTGCAAAAATGTAAGTATTTTAGTAAATTAAGGAATTGGGATTGGCCCTAAGTAACTTAACAGAATTATTTCTGAAGAATGTGATAATGAAGTAGTACCTGAATATTCAGCAGTCAGCACAGACATTTACATAGAAAATTTATTACAATAAAAAAAGCAATTTCCACAAATGTTAAATATTTCAAAAAAAATAATATTGCTCGAGCTAACCTAAAACCTTTTAAAAATTTAAACCAGCACCCAACTGACACCTGATAGACAACCTCATATTTCCTTGTCAAAGCCACTAAACACAATCCTTGTTTCTCACCTTGCAAAGTCTCACGTATTCATCAATGGCCTTTTCCTCTCCTGGGAAGCACTTCTTTAGTTCGTCCATGTAGCGTTTTCGGCCACTGTAGATTTGGTATATGCGCCGGTTTTCAGGTGGACCAATGACCACATTGTCAAAGGGGTTTTCCAGCGGATCCCACTGCAGCTGCCCATTGGTCATTTGGTCAATAATACAGCGTAACGGCTTGTGATTCGACAGTTCCCCAATATAGTGGATGCCTGAAAAAAGAGGCAATCAGACCACAACAAAACTGCCTATTGGGTGATCATACAGCACTATTTTGCAGGTTTGTATGCTGAGGTACAAAAGTCCATCTCACCAACATCAAACTCAAAGCCTTGCTCCTTAAAGGTGTGACAGCATCCTCCAGCCCGGTCATGTTGCTCCAGAACCAGAACTTTCTTGCCCACTTTGGCCAACAGGACAGCAATTGCCAGTCCACCAATCCCACTGCCAACCACTACTGCATCCAAATCCTCAGGAACCCTACTGGCCAAGAAACCTGGATATGGAAACACATGTACGATAGGTTACACAACAGATGTTTCATAAAGAGCAAAATATTCAAAGGTCAGTAACGTAGTACAGCCTACAGACTTTATTTTGTAACAATAATAATGAGAAGTCTATAATGAGAAGTTTTGCATTCTATGGGTGCATATTAAAACCACTAAAGTTAATAATTCCTAATGGATTGTGACCAAAAGACACTCGAAATCATTCAAATGAACTGGACTTTATGGTTAAACATTAATGGTTTGTAATTATTTTAATGGTGTTCGTAGTTGAAAGCATTAACGTTAGACATTGTGTAATGGTTTATATTAATTTCTCAGCAGGTTATATTGTTGCACACTGTTATTCATAGTATTATCTAAACACAAACCTAACCTAAATCAGATAGTATGACTAACCTTGTTTCAGGACTTTATTCTTCAGCTTTCGGTCGAACACCATGGGCTTCAGGGGCTCTCGTGTGTCGATCGCAAAAGGGTTCGGTCCACTTCCCACAACATATCTATACAAAAAGGCCACTAAAGCCAAGAAAATTGCGACGACAGCGAACCACATTTTGTAAGTTGCAGCGTGCTATTTTCTTGCGCTGTCAGTGCCGAATACTTTACACACACTTCCTCACACCACAGTTGACTCCTCCTGTGACGCAGACTCTTGACCAATCACTAACTTTGTTTTTAAATGACGTTACATTTATGGCGAGAAGGCTGGGGTTTACATAGACAGTAAAAAGGGTTTAAATAAATAAAACAGTTAAAAACGTTGAGTCATTTAACAGAAAAAGTAATAAAAGTAATGTTTTTTATAACATTTACACTTTAATCTATTATCTTTTGACTTTATGAAAACACAAATGCAGCTTTTTTTATTTATTTTGTACATTTATATAAAGATCACATCTAGTTTTTTGTCACTGGTGTTACCTACTTTTTGGGGCAATATTAATGTTTTTTTATTAAATATTATTTCTTTAAATGTGATTTTTTTTTTAGTTACAAAAATGATGATGCAACAAATAAGGATATTTCTTTGTTTTAATCATGTCAAAAGTGTAATTTAATCATGTTAGTTTATTTTAACTACTTTTGCTATAACAATGTAATTATTTGGTCACACTTTACAATAAGGTTTCATTTATGTATTTACTGACATGAACTAATTATGAACTATATGTGCACAGCATGTATTAATCAAAGTTTAACATTTACTAATGTTTTATTACCATCCAAGATCGTTACACATTAGTTAGTGCACTGAGTTAACATGGACTAACAATTAACTGTATTTTCATTAACTAAATAACACTAACAAATAATAATGTAATACATGTGTTGTTCATTGTTTATTAATTAGTAAATGCATTCCTAACATTAATTAATACAACCTTATCTTTAAATGAGATGCCATTATTTTAAATATATATTTAGTGTCCTGAATAAGATATTTTAAATAAAAGGTGTTTACATATAGTTCACAGGACAAAACACTTTTTGGAATCATTAGTGAGAATCAGCAGAGGGAATCGCCCTCTGCAAAAGTTTGCATACTCTTGGTTTTTATACTGTGTGTGTGGTTACCTGATAATCTATGAGTGTTTTCTCGTATTTGTGATGGTAGTTAATGAGTCCCTTGTTTGTTCAGAACAGTAATCAGACAAAGAAGATCAAGGTAAATTGCACGTAATTTGCAAATATTGTCTGATTCCAAAGGGTAGTACTAAGTGGAAAAAAACAGACATATTCTGTTTCAAAGTCTCATAAAGAGACTCATGAACAACCATCACAAAGCAGAAAAACACTCTCATAGTTTCACTCACAGTATTAAAAACCAAGGGGATACAAGCTTTTACATGGGGTTATTTCAATAATTTCAGCAAAAATTTAAAAACTATATGTAAACATCCTATGTAAAATATCTTAATCAGAACAGCATTAAATAAAAAAAACAACATCCATTTTGTATGACATCTCTTATTTAATTCAAATTCTTCACTGATTCAACCGAGTCTGCAAGTTGTATGGACACATTCAAGCACAACTGTAAGTGCATAGTGTATAACTGCATAGTGTGTGATTTGAGTAACATCAACCAGCATGTAATAAAATAATGTTTTTGTTTTAAAAATAATGATGACAACAGATTTACTATTTGATTGAATGTTCCCTTTAATTTATTTTGAACAGTAGACACAAGCATCCATTGCATTGATTAACTGTTCATTTAGTATGCTCAAGTCTCCATTTTAAATATTAGCTGAATTGTTGGCAGGATGATACAGTTCTGAAATATTTCTGCTACTGCAGCAAAACATACAAGTAAATATGCCAGAATCATTTATACAGATCTGCCTAGATCCAGAATTATGTAATTAAAGTGCAACTAAGATTTTATTTCAGACTTGTAAAATATCAGTCTTCTTTTCACACATAACTTTACTTAGAATACTTTACTAAGGATTTTGGTTTCAAGTAGGTTTGAGAGAGATTTTTGTTTTACCCTTGAATGTCCTTAAGTGATTATTTGTACAGTAAAACCATCTGCATCTACTCTGTTCCCCTTTTGTGCCCATAAAAAATTAGGTTTGGAAATGTAGTGAAGTTTTGAATCAGCATGGCACATGGTAAACTTTAAAGGAGCTTACAGAAATGACTAGGTGCAAATACATGAGTGATTTAATTTAAGCAGTGCAAAGATTATTAAGATAATGTATTACTGATATTTATACTTTCTTATTGTTGTTGGTATTTTTGACTCTTCTGCTAAGAAGGAATAAATCCAGATACAGATTACGGTCCATGATGGCAGAAGCACAAGTCAGAGCTCCACTCAACCCACCAGCAAAACCACACAACATCAGATCCTGACCTGTAAGCAAAACCCACATTTGAAAATGGACAATGTAGAAATCTCAGCAAATTTAATGTTGACATTTTAACAGCATCTACAAAAATGCAAGCAATGACAAATGTTGTACAAACGGCCTTGTAAATAGTGTTGGATACACTCACCTGTAATATAGAGGTTTTTAACTGGTGTCTGCGGTCTGAGGGTGGCATTCAGTTCAACGTTAAAACGAGAAATACCATGATCAGCACCATAAACCTCTCCCTTTGGAGAGCCAATATAAAACTGATTTGTGATTGGGGTGCCTGCCTCCACATATTCAATCTACAGAGAAAGCCAGATTAATCAACCACAAAAAAATGAGCAATGAAATCTGTGCAATTTATAGATAAAAAAATCCAGTCTGATGAGTTCATACCCTGTCCTTGATCTTGGGATAGATCTCAGTCACTCCCTCCAGTATGTAGTTGATGAACATTTGCTTCAACTCCTTATAATCTGTGCTCCTGTTCTTCACTTTGTCATCTTTCCACTCTTCAAACCATTCATATTTGGCAAAGGTAACCACAGACAAGGTAGATTTACCTAATAGTGACATACATAAGTAGATTTTAATACAAGCACAAACATGATGCAAGAAGCTAAATTGTCTGTTATTTAAGTGGATAGCCTGTAATTATATTGCATTTGTATGCACATGTGGTCAAATGTAGATGAGCTCAAAATACTAAAAGACCATTTACACCTGTAGACTCTAGAGAAGCTACAGACTGATGCACATGCACGCTTTAATCAGCACACCCAACCCTACCCCTCAAATTGACATCATTATTTAGTACATGTGTCTGAGAGTGCATGTCTCAGCATGCATGTGCAAGTCTGCAGCCAGCCAGATACTATTTAGACCCAATGTAAATGTTATACACAAGCCCATTCAAATAAAAGATCACCACCTGGATTTAACTGAGTAAATAAGTAAAAGTATTCTACTGGATACCTAATGCTTAGTTGATTGTTTAAACTTTTAACAAATTATTTTACAATAACTCATGCAGAGAGTAGCTTAAACAACCATGCCGGAAAACCCATCCTGTAGTCATAACATTGATGTTAACCTACTTCAGAAGGGACAAATTATTAGCATGCACTAAGCAAAGAAAACATCTAAAGAGATTGCTGAATCTATTTAAATTGGGATAGGAACTGTCCAACATACAACGAGGATCCATAATAAATTAGGTTGAAAAAATAGTTTAAATAATCAGCAATTACTTAAACATCTAGTGAAATCAAATCATTCAAAAAACACCAGTAGAACTCATGGCTTTGTTTAATAGTGAAAAAAGAGCATTTTCACACACACACGCACACACCCACATACACCCACACACAGAGATTGGTACTAAAATAGCTGTGTAGCCTTATGACAACCCCTTATGCTAATCATAAAAAGGCTTCAATTTGCTATAGAGCAAAAATATTAGAATCTGGAGCAATGGAAGAAGGCCATGTGGTCTGATGAGTCCAGAGTACAGGCATTAGGAAATGATGTTGCCATCATGCCTAGTGCCAACCATACAGTGCTTTGATTTGAAGATGCCCTGATCAGGTCTAGGTTCAGCAATGATTTATGCTCAAAGAATGAGGTCAGCTGACTTCCTGATTATACTGAATGACCAGGTTCTTCCATCCATGCATTTTTTTTTTTTTTTTGTGAAGGAGGGGTGGACATTATTTTATACATGCATTGTCAACCACAGAGTCCAGACCTTAACCTTATTGAGAATCTTTGGTATGTCCCGGAGAAGACAGCGGTTTGACTCTCTCATCATCAATACAATGTAATTGCAGAAGCATATTGAAATGATGCCACAGCCAATGCATGCTATAATCAAAGCTAAAGGTGGTTTAACTAAACAGCATGACTTGTTATGGACACAGTGTGTGTTCCCTGGTATATTTATACTGTTATAATGGCATACTTTTTAATTATTCCACAAAATAAAACCACAAAAGTAGTCTATACATTATGTCCTACACTCAGTGTCACTCATTTAACACGTCTTGTATTTAAACTTGTGTTTTCATTCATCCTGGATTTGATTTATGAAGATTATATGTAGCTATTTCTCTGTTAACATTTATATATATATATATATATATATATATATATATATATATATATATATATTCTGCAGCGCTTAAATCCTCCTCTATTGTGTCTCTATTTACTTTATTAGCTTTGTCGATATGTGATCAGATCAATAAAAATCCTAAGTCCAGATGTAAACAGGACCTCAAGTGTTTTTCATTTTTCTCTTTACCTGGTTCCCTTTCTGGCCAGGTTGAGTCTTTGGCAGAAGGTGAGGCCACAAAAATTACAGGCAACTTTTTAGCAGAGTCTTCCCTGTTTCCTTTCCTGTAAGCCTCAAACCTGGAAGAACAGCAGACATGAACACAAGTTAAAAGATATTTTTACCAAATAAACAGAGCAATTCTATTGAAGCTGGTGATTCTGCACTCACAGCTCATCAAAATTGTTCTCAGGAAAGACATAGAAATTGTCCGCTTTTAGCTCGAGCTCCTCTTTTGTCCCATTTAAACCAATGAAAATGCTGAGACCACTCTCTCCATGCTTTAGCATACTCAACTGTTTCTGAATTGCTGTACAGGATCATAACAACTAAGGTAGAATTTACAACTAATAATATTATTATTGATAAGAATAATCTATATTGTGAAGATTTGAAAGAATATTGTTTCTTAATAGCAAAAGAAATGTAGTTTCTCTCTCTCACCAGGCATAGTCTGCACATCTTTGGGCAGGAGATGTTCATAGGTATTAAAGATTCCAGCATCTGAAATCACAATGGGGGCTCGTACATGCACTTCCTCCTGTCCCTTCAGAACACTCACACCTGCAATAATGCCAAAAAACAAGTCAGTTATTAGCTGAATGACCTTTTCACAGTGCTAATATTCTTATTAAAGAGTTGAGTGTAGTAAGTGTAGTAAGAGGATACAGTATATCTTTATAGAAAGTGGAACGTTTTACCAATAGCCTCTTTAGCATCATTGAGGAGAATGCGGTTTACAGGTGCTCTAACAAGCACAGCACCTCCTGCCTTCTCAATAATGGGAATCATGTGGTAGGCGATCTCGCTGGCACCACCCTTGGGGTACCAAGCACCATTCATGAAGTGGCACACAAGTATACTATGCATGGAAAAGCTTGCTTCTTTGGGAATATTGCCTGTTTAACAGAAAAAGTTGACTACAAATGTGTACAAGTGTCGACATGCACCTTGATCTCCAGTCAAGTCAGGTGATCTCACCATAGGTCAAAAAGATGTAGGAGAGCACGGCTCTCAGGTCCTTATTCTGTGTAAGCTCATTCACCACATCCTTCAGGCTGCGGGACGCATAGCTGAAGAAGGATGTTAAGCGACTGGCCAGACCCGTGCGCACCAGGAACTTTGCAAAAGGAGCCGGGGCAAGCTTCAGCAGGACCATGAACCATATTCCAGGTGCGACTTTCTAACAGATGCATTAGAAATTAGGGTTACATGTGTTTAGTGCAATGCTCTAATGCCAGGGTTCAATACTGCAAAATCTAATCAAACTTACTATTAATTATTGAAAGAAAAATAGTTAGGGTTATATTTGACTTATTCCATGAAGGCCTTTAATGTGTGTTTATGTCTGCAAAAGTGGATTTTAGATCTAACATGCAGTATTTTTTCTGTATTGTATATTAACAATCATAAAAGCAACTAATTAATGAAGGTAAAAGATCATGTGCAAGCATTCGGTGTCCTCACTGGCCCTTTTGACAGATATCACAACACTCCTGGGTGACTGCCTGTCTGTGGCTGTGATCGTAGGGAAAAGGTCATGCAATCAGCAGCACACAGTTATAAAGATTTCACCTTTTAACTCCCCATGGCATTAAATTCTCTGAGATTTTGACTGAAATTACAAAACATTTAGGGTCAGTATGATAAAATATTTTTTTTAGTAAGAATGCTATAAATTGATTAAATGCGACGTGCACAACAATATTGGTTGTTTTTATTTTGTATTAAAAATATTATATAAAAAATTTTATATGGTTTGCACACACAAAATAAAAACTGCTTCTGTGCAATATTGCTCTCCTATAACCTATGAAATTTTAACATGTATTCATTCATAATACATTCTTTATCTATGCAGAAAAGACAGGACCATGGCCACATCTAAGCCCTTTTTGTTGTTGTTTAGTAATAATAACTTTGAAATGTCTTGTTTTGTATTTATTACACTGCAATTTTTTGCAATATTAGCTCATAATATTTGTAGACCTTAAGTTTGCATTTCATTTATTTGTACCGGTACAATGACAATAAAAAGATTATCTTCTAATCTATTCAATACGACAAGCATATATAAAAGACAACCCAATAATTTAGTGTCTGAACCACATTTTGTTTCTCACCTCGCAGAGCCTCACAAATTTGTCAATGGCCTTTTCCTCTCCCGGGAAGCACTTTTTCAGTTCGTCCATGTAGCGCTTTCGGCCGCTGTAGATTGGGTATATGCGCCGGTTTTTAGGTGGACCAATGACCACTTTGTCAAAGGGGTTTTCCAGCGGATCCCACTGCAGCTGCCCATTGGTCATTTGGTCAATCAAACATCGAAATGGCGTGTGATCCAACAGTTCCCCAATATAGTGGATGCCTGAAAGACATTCAGACCAACTGGCTGTTAGGTATTTTGCAGGTGAAGTACATAAAATATACAAATCTACATAAATAAAACAGTACATTATTTGCGTTACTAAAGTAAAATATGAATTATGGCTACATGTATAGACATGTGCCATGCTAATAAGATACGCTATTAAATATGGCTACAATACAGCACAGTAATCACTTTAATGTTACTCAATAAATATATTTGCCAGAGCCAGACATGATAGGAAACAACAATATGCTATTTTATTAGGTTGCCATTGCCAAGGTACAAAAATCCATCTCACCAACATCAAACTCAAAGCCTTGCTCTGTAAAGGTGTGACAGCATCCTCCAGCCCGGTCATGTTGCTCCAGAACAAGAACCTTCTTGCCCACTTTGGCCAACAGGACAGCAATTGCCAGTCCACCAATCCCACTGCCGACCACTACTGCATCCAAATCCTCAGGAACTCTACTGGCCAAGAAACCTGGATTGGCAAACACATGTGAAGTTGTTCAGCAAGACTGGAGTGCAGCAATGTTTACTGGACTGCAGTAATTTACGGTATAGAAAGAGTTAATCTTACAGTAACGTTACTCTTAAAAAAAAACTATTTAATCACATTGCCAATTATCCTATATTATCTAGACACAATAGAGTAACCTTAATCATATAAGATGTACGAGGAGTCATGGTTTAAGTGACTGACCTTGTTTCAGGACTTTATTTTTCAGCTTCTCGTCGAACACCTTGGGCTTCAGGGGCTCTCGTGTGTCGATCGCAAAGGGATTCGGTCCACTTCCCACAAGTAATTTATACAAAAAGGCCAGTAAAGCCAAGGAAATTACGATGACCGCAATCCACATTTTGTAAGGTGCAAAGTGCTATCATGTACCGACAACTACTGTCTACTGTACATTTCTTACTCCCCTTTTTAAACCACTACCTGCTGTTTGTGTTGACTCCTCCTCCGATGACAAATCTGACCAATTGCGAGCTTTGTTTATAAAGAACGTATTACTTATCAAACATCATGGATATGAATATAATTAAACATTAAACCTTTGCAAAAACTGCTGATCATCACAAACTCTGCATTAGACGAACCTATTACATGATAACAACGACACTATAAGTTACATTTACTGCTGGATAAAGACAGAAGAGAAAGCATATATTTTGTGCATCCATGCCATCATTGTTTTTGATACACATTAAACCTAAGCTTTGATGTGTGTTTTTTCACCTAACATATGTGGGTCAATGGACAAACCCAATCACTGAGTTATTTATATTTTACATTAAATAATTGTTCAGGAAAGAGTTGAATGACCATTTTTTAACTGCAGTTTTACTATATATATATATATATATATATATATATATATATATATATATATATATATATATATATATATATATATATATATAATTGTTAAACAACAATAAAACATGTTTCATGAATTTTATTTGTAATAAAACCATGACTAATTAAAATTTTAAAAGGCTACACTGTATGTATGTTTCTTTATTTATCTAAACAATGATATGATCAGTCAGTCCTGACAGCGTGTTTTTAGTTCATTGTAAGTTAATCATATTCTAACTTAATTTTAAAACTTATGCAAGATCTTTTAAGTCAGATTAACATAATATAAGTACAATGGACTCAATGTTAATTTAATTCAGCCAGGATTTATTTATTATAGTATTCGCTAATATCTTTGTGATTTATTATTTCACAAAACTAAGGCACCTACATGTTGCATTTAAAAAGACAGTGCTGTGAACTGAACTATGTTATGCTGTAAACTAAATTTAACAATACCAGTTAAACGTGATTACAATAATTTGCACAAAATGCATAAATTGTAAATATTGTGGATTTGCCTATAGTGGATCTGGATACGTAAATTTATTTCAAAATATCCTCAAATGAGCACAGTTTCACTCAAACTTTTTCTTTTACTTTTTTTTTATTTTTATGTAACTTAATTTTATTGAATTTATTCATTTTTTTACATAGTTTCTTGGATTCTTGCATAATTGTGGTCTTAAAATCACTTAACTTTCAGAAATGTATAAATATGACCATAGACACCATTGAATAAAAGCAAAACTTGAACTATAGCCTGAGTCCAACTAACTTGAGTTTAATAATTCATTCCTCCATTTTCTTTTCAGCTTAGTCCCTTTATTAATCAGGGGTTACCACAGGGGAACGAACCGCCAACTTATCCAGCATGTTTTTTTTTGGAGGAAACCCAAGCCAACATAGGGAGCACATGCAACCTCCACACAAATGCCAACTGACCCAGCCGGGACTCAAATCAGCGACCTTCTTGCTGTGAGGCGACAGCGATACCCACTGTGTCGCAGAGTTGAATAATAACATTGCTAAATTGAACTAAGCCTACTTCAAATTGATAAAATTCACTCTGACACACAGATTGCACCAATAGTTTATCTTATATATATTTTTGTTGAACTCTGTGAAGCTGCTTTGATGCAGTCTGTATTGCATAAACACTTTAAGCCGTCATGTTGGTTTGAATTCAAACTAACCAAATGATCACAAGAAACTCAAAACAGACACAATTATAATTGCAAAAACAATATTGAGTGAAAAATACTTCCTCATGGCCATCAATGTATCTTGTAGTACACATCGTAAATTTAAATTAAAAACAATTAAAATAAAGCAGCCGATCTACTATAATTTACTAACATACTATTATATGGCACCATACATGACCAGCAATGACCCTTCATGACTCATTCACAAGAAATAAAACAGGTTGAAAGCTGAAAGATAACTGTATCTAAATGCGAGCAATAAAATGAATCTTTGTTCTTTTAGATCTGCGTTATTAAGATGAAGAGCAATGAATCTCACAGATCCTTTTCTCTTTCCTCAAGCAGGAAACGTCCCCCCATTTACGATCTTTTAATATAACACAATCTTCACCATCTAAAGGATTTTCAGCTTTCCAGTCATCTGGGGGACTGTCCCATCTAAAACAAAGAGAAAACCTATCTATGAGGTCAAGAACAGATTTGGGTTACTGTATGTGTACACTGAACAACTGCTTCATTGGTTTACAGTTCATTGTCACAGATGAGGTTTTAAACTGCTACTTACGAGGTGTCATTGTTTAGTGTGGTGTTGTCCACCCAAAGCCACACTCCCTCCATCTGACTGTCACTCAGCCCGATCCAATGAAAGTCATGCACACCATTGACTTTTTTGGAGAGAAATTCCTACAACAGACAAAAAAAAGGGTCATGTCATTGTATTCTCTAACAACACCTCATGTATTTAAATGAGCTGTTATTGTTAATTGTTGTTGTGGTGGTTTACAATTTAAATTTGAAGAACTTGTTGTTATGAAAATATGATTCTAAACAGTACACTGTAAAAAATGCATGATGGATTAAATTAGTTTTTACAAATGTAAGTGTGGACAACGCAAGAAGCAAGAAGGTCGCTAATTCGAGACTCAGCTGGGTCAGGTGCCATTTCTGTGTGGAGTTTGCATGTTCTCCCTGCATTCGCGTGGGTTTCCTATGGGTGCTTCGCTTTACCCCACAGTCCAAAAACATATGTGGTATAGGTGAATTGGGAAGTCTAAAACTGTTCATAGTGTATGAGTGTGAATGAGTGTGTAGGGTCCAGCCAGTTGGTCCAATGACGGTATCCACTGGTGGATGAAGGTTCACTGCATGTTCGGTCTTTCCCGTGCACAATGTTGATTTATATTAAACTTAGCTAAAATCTGACTCCAATTTTAGTATGAGGTGGTTTAGAATATTAATATATTTATCCTCGTTTTATCTGACTCCAATTATAAAACATTGAGAAGGTTATTTTGTTTCCGTTCACATTAGTTTAGATTATGATTGAATATTCTCTTCGGTTCATCATTTTATGTTATTCTCATTCATTGGGATTCCTATAACATCCTGAATCTTGTACCGGCCGAGTATACAATTTCTTAAGCACAAGCATGTCAGTCTTGGTCACTAAACAGTGGCGATTGACCGCTATCCTAAACCGGCAGAACCCTACTTACCTAGATTAGGATATTTTTATGCGGTCCCCATAGATCTGCTACCTCCTAAACCAAACAGAGCTCTTTAGTCATATAATGATCATTACTATAGAATTAAGCAGACCAGTCGTACTTAAACTATTAGTAACTTTGAATAATCACTATACTATCTAAATAGTATTATAAGTTTATCGGGTGAAGGACTATCCCCTTAGATATCCTTTTACAGCCTAAGTATACATGAATTAATGCCAATGTGTTAGTCGGAGCTCTAGAGATATCGTATAGCCTGCCGCAATGCTCCGTCTACCGTGTTCTAGTCCGCTACTAACCTGTACAGGGGCTTGTGGTGCTATGAAATTACCACAATCTACTAGAGATAATAACACGAACTCTGTTTGAATAATTCTAAACATAACAATTTATTAGTCAGGTAAATGTAATATGCCAATTCAATCAGTCAATTCATAAACGATCAATACAAAACATCAAATTATCACAGACAAATCCAAGATGAAAAGATGCATATCCTGACTTTGAAATATACATAACATGGAGCAGGCTCAATGTTATGGGCTGATCTGGTTAGGCAGAATCGCCCTGAGCCTTTCTCAAACCTTACCTTAAATAATCCAAGAATTCCCTCAAGGAAAGGGGTGTGTGCATAACAAAAGGCTTTCACACTTAGTGCTGCCTGTGGGAAAGTCACACCCTTCACAGTGGTTCAAAAGATGCCTAAAGTTATATATTTATTGTTTTGATTATGTCTATTTCTGAGAGAATGAGACCATGGTACCAATCGCACTGAGACATTTCAAATGATATCAAACATGATAGTTAAAGTAAGTTTGGTTAATTTAGAACAGTGGTTCTCAAACTTTTTTCACCAAGTACCACCTTAGAAAAAAATCGCCTCTCCAAGTACCACCTTACGACGCTATTTTTTAACCAGTATTAAAAAATAGCGTCGTAAGCCTAATTAAGCAGCTACAGGTGTGTACAGTTTTAAAACGATGCAGATTACTTCCTATTAGTAAGAATATGTATTATTGTCAGTCACTTTAAACATTTGAAATAGTCTGAACATTAACTGTGCTTGTGAAATTAAAAGTGCTTGTGAAATCTTTTTTGTACTCAAGTAAAAATACACTGCTAAAATAACAAAAATTTAAGTAAATAATACTAATATTAGGTAAAAGTACAAATTACTCTTTTAAAAAGTACTAGTTAATTATTTTTGAAAAAAAATCTGATTTTCATTATGAAATCACTTTTTTTTAAGTGTAAACCTAATTTAATGGTTTGATTGCTTACATCCCAAAGCTACATGTATAATTTGCACTAACAAAGAAAGTATAGTCAATTTTTCCTTTCATGACAATTAATCTTTTTCAATAGCACTGGTAAAACTACCACATAATCTTTAAGGCCATAGAGACACTTTTTGCCCATTTTTCAAAATATATATATTTAAGCTTTGAAAGGTTAAATTAAGGTATATGGTAAAAAGATTTAAATTTAGCCTTTTATTTACATATTTTACACTATTTTCTTTACAATATGGCAAATTTGTTTCTTAAATAGCTGTACATCACATGTAGATTTTATTTTACACTTGATCTTAATCTTAAATAGAAACGTAAAAAATACAAGTACACTGTCAGTAAAAAAAATAAAACAAATGACTTTATTTTACTTGAGGTATTTGAAATATGACAACACTACATTTATCAAAGCAGTGCTTTAAGAGCCTTATTGTAAATTGTGATAAATAAACAATAAGTAGGCTAACAATGGATTGCTTTGACCTGTAATGCTTTAGGACAGATCAGAATACAGCTAAATGTATAAATAACACAAATACCTCATCCAGAAACATTTCCAGCATAATTATTTTGTCGTAAAGAAATAAATGTTCCACCTTTGCTAAAAGTAAGTTTCACTTCACAACACAGCCAAATAAGAAGACCATTAGTATTGTCATCGATCATGAATCAATCTAATTCTAAATATTTGATAACTTTGAATACTTTTGACTAAATTTAGTTAAGGAGCAAAGATAAATAATGTCTACTTTAATAGTGGAGAGATCGCGATTGTATTCAATCTGAGCACACAGGCGATCATGAGAGGTCTTGTAGTTCATTTCAAAAAAGCCTATTTAAGAGCTCACATGTCTGTTTTAGCGATTTGCGTACATGAATGCGCTCTCATGTTAAAATAAAGCACTCGCCGCATTTGCAGAGATGAGTAATTGCGCAATACCTTCATTCCCGCGCCGCCATTCAGACTGTATTTAGTGGAGTGACAGGTCAGAGGCGAGTCGACTGGCTGTCGAGCGAAACGTGTATGAAGATCATCAAATAGGCAGGAAATATGTCCGCGGTTTAATTACTCTGCTAGACATCTCTATAGTGAAAACATCCGAGAAGCATTATTCCAACAAAACATTTGTTTTTAAGTAGTTTTTTTCTGTCTCTGCAACACAGAAAGCCTTTGTCCCGCCCTTACGTTTCACGCAACTAGACAAGGTCGACTGTGATTGGCCACTTTTCATGTCAGTCAAATCACGCTTCAGAATCAATTCTTAAACTTCGGAAACTGATTTTCAGCAGCTTATGACACAGTGCACTAAAATAAACACTCTAAGCACAGCGTTGTGATCGTACGCTTCACAAAACAGCCAATGCTGATCACATCAATGTTATATTACGCATTAAAGGATTAAAGTGTTAATTGTTTCTTTCATTATTCAGCGATTCCTCCGCGTACCACTAGGAGGAAGCCCGCGTACCACTAGTGGTACGCGTACCACAGTTTGAGAACCACTGATTTAGAACATTCAAACATTGAAATGACCATATGCGTGAGTTGGGGTGGTTGAAGCCGAGCTTCAGCAGACTCAGATGCAAATGCAGCAGGAACTGGTTTTTCCCGCATTCCCACCTGCTGGGTTGTGGAGTCACCAGTCTCTGTTTTCAGCTCATGTTTTGAATTGTCAAAGATATCAAAATATTTGCAATATTTCAACTCTTACAAGTGTGTATGGATGTTTCCCAGAGATGGGTTGCAGCTGGAAGGGTATCCGCTGCTTAAAACATATGCTGCATAAGTTGGTGGTTCATTCCGCTGTGGTGACCCCAGATTAATAAAGGGACTAAGTCGAAAAGAAAATGAATGAAAGAAATATAAGTGTATTGAACATAAAACAATTAAGTTGTCCCATCACCCCAAAAAAATCAAGTATTGATTTGCTAATTTTAAATGAGTACTGTCTATGAACAAACAGCAAACGTCATTTTTTTGAGTGTAAACAAAAAAAGGTTTGTGGCAATGGCAAAACTCTTTTTGGTGATAAATGTAAAGTTCTATAAAGCAGCATGATTTGAATGTATTTTTATTACTTGCTGTAAAATAGAGTAAAATATGCCGAGTTGCATACAATGTCTTCATGTTGCCCCAAAACAAATCGTTTAAGTAAAACATGAAACAATTAGGTGAAATTAGGTAATTCCATTTCTGTTTAGTTCAGTTATGTTCACTGTAGTTGGATTAAGTTAATCAGAAATTGCTTTTTCAAGCTTATAGGCCTACAGTACAAAATTAACGCATAACTGAATAACTACATAGTTATTTTATTTTACTATTTACTATTTATATTATTATTTCATATAACAGCTATTAATAGTTGAAGTACTAATAGTTTACTTTCTTACTATGCAATATTTTGTTCATTGTGTACAAATTTGTCATTTAAATGTGGAATTGTAGCAAAATTTGCAGTGCCTTATTTGTTTGCTGAATATATATATATATATATATATATATATATATATATATATATATATATATATATATATATATATATATATAAAATGACAACAATTAACATGCTTAAATACATAAAGTCAAACACAAAAAAACAAACAAACAGAAAATAGATATAATGAAAAGCAAATTCCACTGAATGTTTGGTCAAGAAGGAATGTTGAAATAAGACTGAATAAGAACTATTATCTAGCTATAGCCAAACCGAAAACAATAAAATTAAATTCAGCTTTATTTGTATAGTGCTTATACAATGTAGCTTGTGTCAAAGCAGCTTCACATAAATGGTCATAGTAACTGGATCAGAGTAGTTCAGTTTTTAATGTTTAAGTTCAGTTCAGTTTAGCTCAGTTCAGTGTGGTTTAAAGTCATTACTGAGAGTCCAAACTGTAGAGCTGTAACGCCGGGGAGTAACACCACAACAGAAGGTAGGATCCAATATGCAGGTTTATTCACAGTCAGGCAAGCAGTGGTCAATACGGGAGCAAACAGGTATGTGAGGACAATCCAGAATCGTAGTCAGTTTAACAATCAAGAGGTCGAAAGGCAGGCGGCAGACAAGGATAACTAAATAAACAAGGCTAAGTTCAAAACACAGGAAAACAAGACAAGGAAAACGCGTTGTAATGCTACTTTACAGTGAACAAGACTCGGCCAACTGAAGGCGTGAATGTGTGGCTTAAATAGTGTGTTAATCAGTCTCTGAAAGTCCTCAGGTGTGAATGTAAATCAAGCTAAATGAGAAAGCAGGTGTGTGGGCGAAGAGCATGTATGAAGTTGTAGTCCAGGAAAAGTGTAGTTCTAAGTGTGTGTGTGTGTGTTTACCAGCGACATCTGGTGGTTGTTCGCTGGTAAACAAGACAAGAGCAAATTGCATTGCAACTTAAATTACTAAAATAAAATGACAAAATATGTGCAAAAAAATATAATCTGTTGTTATTTTAATGAATCATTTCACCATATGCTTGTGGCCAGATTAAATCTCAAGCTTTTGATCATGTAACTGAGGTGCAGTTTGTATTTTTTAAGTGATGAGATTGTGAAATGCGACAAATCATTATATACACAACAATTATCTAAAAATATTTGCTCATGAGGTCAAAAATGGCAAAAACAGACACACATACATGGTAATTATTTCTTAATATTTTTATCATCTTTTCGTTACTAAGTATGTGTTTTCTGTGTTGCATGTTTCAACTCTATAAAATTGAGGTGCTTTGACAGTCAAATAAAATAATTAATTAATTAATAAAAAAAAAACGCCTTATTCATTTTGGCATAAAAGTATTAATCAAAACAGAAAGGCTCTTAAACTGCCTTTAATATCTATCCTTTTTAGAGTGTAAACTAATCTGGCTATACCTGTCAAATCTAAAACAACTGTCTGTAATTTACTGTAAAATAACTGCAATTGTAACTTATGTAACTCTGTATTTAATCTGTACCTGTTCTTCAGTGCTATCGATGACGACCAGATCTCCACCCAGATCCTGACAACGGCGTCTGCTGCTGCTCCAGTCCATCACATCAGTGGAGAAAACATACAATCTGCCCTTGTTCTGAACCAACTTCTCCTGTAAACCTGCATACACAGTTTAGCTCTTGTAAATATAAGTAGACACTCGAGCAAAATCAATAATAGAGAGAGAGAGAGAGAGAGAGAGAGAGAGAGAGAGAGAGAGAGAGAGAGAGAGAGAGAGAGAGAGAAGCAACTGTCTATTGTTGATTTGCCTTATTTTCTTTGATTTTAGAAATGAAAAACAAGAAAAACAAATCAGGTACAAAGCCATTAATATATTAGTGATTAATAATGTGGAGAATTTTGTCAACTAGATTTGTTGATATTCAGTCAGATTCATACATTACAGTGTGAATTACTAAATTCATTTATACAATTTTCTTAATGCAGGACGCAATTACTTTACTGTACCTGAACAGTGGTTTGGTAAACTGTGATTTTTCATGGAGTTTATTTTCATTGTTTGATGGGCATCTAAATGAGGGTTTGAAAGACACAAATTTGTGAGACCAAGTGGATTATGTGACTGTGCACTAATGAAGATAAGCAGTCATTTACCTGATTTTAAGCAGATTCTTCTTTGTTCACAAAACGGATTTGGGTTTTTATTGTGATCTGTGAAGCATTGTGTTTTCGTAAGTTAAAGATGCAAATGATGAAATTATTTTACACCTTGTTTAAACCAAGAAATAAATAGAAAGTTATGGTACTAAATTGTAGGTCATGAATGTGATATCAGCAACAAATAAAATTAAATTAAATTAAATTAAAACAAAATTAAATTAAAACAACATTAAAATCAAAATAAATTAAAACAAAATTAAATTAACTTAAAACAAAATTAAATTACACAAAATTAAATTAAAACAAAATTAAATTAAACAAAATTAAATTGAATTAAAACAATTAAATAAATTAAAACAAAATAAATTAACCAAAATTAAAACAAAAATAGAATACAATCAAATCATAAACAAATAAATAAAAGTATGCCAGCAACACTTGTATATGTATACATACATAGATACATAGATACATACATACATACATACATACATACATACATACATACATGCATACATACATACATACATACATACATACATACATACATACATACATACATACATACATACATACATACATACATAAAATAATGAAAATACATTAATATAATATAAAATAGAACTCACACAGATATGCCAACCCCCCATTTGCCAGCAAAGACAGGAAGAGAAGACAGGATAATTTCCTCTGCATTGGTTTACACTTACACCCTGCATATGTAAATATAAGTGCTTATAATATCTTAGAACATGAAAGACAAACAGTTATTTTTCATTAAGTGAGGGATCCTTGATGCTGCTGGTGACACTATAAAAATGCGCATACACAATTAGATGAATAATACATTGTGCAATATTGCATTTTTTTTAACTATTTTGAATTTGAACACATTTTAATGGATAATATTATGTTTTAATGTTTTGTTTCTTATTTATCATAGCTTTAAATTAAAAAAAAATGTACAAAACAAATAACCATAAATAAAAATCTTTAAATGGAAATTTTATTAATTTCAGTCTGAACATGAATGTGTTTACATACTGTAATAACTTGATAAGGAGAGTTAAAGCTATTGATATACAAAGCAAATAAAGGAGAAAACAATGAACATCAAAAATTATCATAAATATTGCAAACTGAAAGCGTTTGGTAACACCTAAAATACGATAACATAAGTTAATGTTAGTTAATTTACTAGTTAGTTAATTTATTCGTTAATTTACTAACATGAACAAACAATGAACAATAGATGAACAGACTAACATTGGAGTCGGAAAGAGTGACGAATGGCACCTCGTTTATCATTATGCAGGAAATAACATCATTCAACATCAAGTAATCGTTTTGCAGTAGCCATTAAAAGATAGAAAGGACAAGAATTACACACGCACTTACTTTTTTCATCTTTCTCCACCTTTGTCAGTTTATCAGGCTCTGATAAATAATTTAAATAAATATTTTCCGGCATTGTTTGCCTGAAGAGAGATGTGGTTCAACAGTGAAGGGTCTGAAGGGTGAACTGAAACAAAATACTCTGCAGGTTTCTCTGGCTTTTGTTTAACCACATCAACCAGTTAACGGTGCATGCAAACTTTCCAGACAGCTGGTTATTATTTATGGTGTGTTCAAATTTTCTTAACATGATATTTGTGTTAACATCTTTATATATATATTAAATAAGCATTTTTTCCAAATAGTCACAGATCATACAACAACATCCTTTGATAATGGTTTATTGCAAAGTTTACTCTTCAGAAAAAATGACAGAATTAAATCCACTGAGAGCTCTGCAGAGAGATTTTACTGTATTACAATTAAAACAATTTACAAATGACTGTTTGTGTTTGTTATGGAAAATATACAATAAGAGGTCCTTCTACATATAAAGTAAAATATAATTCTAAATAAAAAAATAAAAAATAAAAAATAAAACAGGAAACTCTGTAATTATACAAATGACTTAAATGTGTTGCTCTCTCTCATACACACAGACACAGACACTGTAAAACCCAACAGTCAACTTTATCAAATGAAACAAGTGTAGTTAACTCAAAGTTTACTTAAAGTTAATTCTACTCATTTGAAAAGAGTTTTGAACTCAGTGTTGAAGTTAATGAGTTAATTTAATACCCCATTACTTTAACTGAAATGGAGTAAGTTCACAGTACTCATTTAGATTAGTTTTAACTCAAATGGTTTGCAGCAACTGGTTTCCTCAAACGGTTTGAGTTGCCTTAACTTATCAGGTTTTACAGTATTCAGAGTTCTCTTCATTTATTGGGTTTTGCTGTGCTCAAAAAGCTTTGTTTACTAAAATTGATTAAGTTCACAGTACTCATTAGAATTAATTTGTGAACTTAAATGGTTTGCTGCAATCGGTTTCCTCAAACGGTTTGAGTTGCCTTAACTTATTGGGTTTTACAGTACTCAGTTGGTTTGAGTTCTCTTCATTTATTTTGTTTTACTGTGCTCAAATTGCTTCATTTACTCAAATAGATTAAGTTTACAGTACTCAATAGAATTTATTTTGAACTTAAATTGTTTGTTGCAATCGGTTTCCTCAAATGAATTGAGCTACCTTAACCTATTAGGTTTTACAGTGCAGTAGAATTTTGTTACACAGTTTTATGGATTTTCATTTGATTTTTTTTACGTGAAAAACAGCATGGCATTTCAGTAGATTGCCATATCATACATGAAATAGTAAAGAGATATTAAAGCAAGTAAACAGAGGAATATCAAACACGAATAAAATGTTCACTGTTAAATCTTTCCATTTAGTTAAATAAATTCTTTGGTTTTCTATCGTTTTTTTTTTTTTTAAGTGTACTGAGCTCTATTTATGGCAAGGGATCTCACAAATGCTCTTCTCTTCTCTCAAACAAGAAACGTCCTCTTGTGTATTTCCCTTTAATGCAGCACAGTTGAGTTGTTTGTGGTCCAGATCTGTTCGGCTCCCGGACCAGTAGAGATCAGATTCACCAATAGCACACAGCATCCCAGTGAGAAATTCCTGCACCACAATCACAATAATTATGTATATAATACAAAAAATAAAAATAATAACAAAAGTATTTTGTCAAGTCAATTTATTCTGAATGTCAATCATTAATCTCTTGACCGATTAAACAAAAAAAATGTCACACCTGTATTCACATTTGTTCCTCTTTTAAAACAATGTTTCTTTCAAACAGAAAATTGACTGCAAAGTTCATTATTTTTTATTGAGTTACACTTTCATGGTCCCTTTCAGGTATACTTTTAATTATTTACCGTAAGCAACCTTGGAGCTACAGTGGAGGTCAAAATTACAAAGCAATTTATAGAGATGTTTCTCGGAAATAATGTAAAGAGCGACTTTATTTGTTTTGTTGTATAAAGGTGGTTTATTGTGTTGCCGAAAAAGCTTCTGAAAAAAAACAGGTGCTTTCAGCCTGTACTCTATCTGTATAAAAGACACACTTCCTGCTACAGAAAGCAAACAAAAACTCCACCTTTCACTGACTTACTTTTACTGACTCCCACACATTAGCTTCAGTTTTTAATTTGAAAAACAAAATGTTTCCCATAAGAACCAAATAGGACCCAGATTCAGAATGCTGTAGCTAATCTGTTCTTTAATGTGACCAAGAGAGTCCATGTGACATTTCTCTTTATCACCCTGCACTGATTACAGAACAAGTACACAGGCTCTGCACCCTCTTACCCCACTTTCTTCCTCATGACTACATCCACTTCAAGAGCCCAAAGACATTAAGTGAGCTTTTCACTTTCCAGAACCTTTACATTTACTGTTCATTGCTGGTGGATTAGTCTTCGCAATCCCACACGGACTGTTGAACACCAGGTAACCAGAGTAGGGTGTGACATGTTCCACGGTATATACGTTACTTTATTTTAAATACATTTTTGGGGAATGCACTATTGTAACAAATTACAATGTAATTGCATTACCTACAGTCAATGTAATAGCATTACCTACATTGAAAATATATAGTTACAAATATTACATTGTTATGTTTTTTTTTTTTTGTGAATATTAAATTACTGAAAGAGCTGTATCATATTAAGCATTTTTATATATTTTATATGCTTTTAAAGTAAGGTATTTAGTAATCTGATTACTTTTTACATTAAGTAATTAGTAATGTGAGGGCAGCATGGTGGCACACTGAGTAATGCTGTTGCCTCACAGCAAGAAGGTCTCTGGTTCGAGCCCCGGCTGGGTCAATTGGCATTTTTGTGTGGAGTTTGCATGTTCTCCTTGTGTTCGTGTTGCTATCCCCCGGGTGCTCCGGTTTTCCCCACAAGTCCAAAGGCATGCGCTATAGATGAATTGGGTAAGCTAAATTGTCCAAATTGTGTATGAATTGTGCATGGATGTTTCCCAGTGATTGGTTTCTGCAGGAAAAACTGTGTAAAACATATGCTGAATAAATTGGCGGTTCATTCCACTGTGGCGACCCCTGTTTAATAAAGGAACTAAGCCAAAAGACAATGCATGAATGAATGAATTATTGATGTAATCAGATTACAATTTTCTAGTAGTCAGTAATTTGTAATCTATTACTTTTTTAAAGTAACTTGCCCAATACTGCAGGCAACATTCAAACATAAAACTGAAACCTCATCTCCTCCACAATCACTTGAATGTTTTATTTGAAAAAAAAAAAAAACTTCACATCTCCCTCTTCATCCTAGCTCTTATTTCTCAAAGCAATTTCAGTAGCTTTTTATAAGAAGCACTTCTTGTGTGAATTTCCTCTTTACGATGAATCACTTAATGGCTTCCTCAATGTGCTAAATGACGTAATGTAAATGTGGTCATCCCGCTGTCAGAGGCTTTGTAAAACAGCTCACCACCTTGCAAAGTCAGTGAAAACTAAAAAGTTCAGCTGCCAGTTAAATAGAGTATGTCAGACAATTAATAATATAACCACTGTTTGACAGATAAACACCAATAACTATTTTAATAATAATAACTTTAATAAGTATATTCATCAAATTCAACTCATCAAACATGCCTAAAAACAACCTTGTTAGGATAACTTAAAAAAGGACTAAGCACTAAGGCAGGGGTCACCAATATCGGTCCAGGAGGGCTGGTGTCCCTGCAGGGTTTTGCTTCAACTTGCCTCAATACACCAGCCAGGATGTTTCAAGTATACCTAGTAAAGCCTTGATTAGCTTGTTCAGGTGTGTTTAATTAGAGTTGGAGCTAAAATCTGAAGGACACCGGCCCTCCAGGAACAAGTTTGGTGACCCCTGCACTAAGGAGTTACCTCACTGGTTTGGTAGCGCAGTGGGTATTGGTGTCGTCTCACAGCAAGTTTGCTGGTTTGAGACCCAGCTGGGTCAGTTAGCATTTCTGTGCGAAATTTGCTTGTTTTCCCCATCCTCCGGGTGCTCTGGTTTCCCCCACTTTCCAAAGACATGCGCTATAGGTGAATTGGATAAGCTAAATTTTCATGTTGTAAGTGTGTATGTCTTCCAAGGTCCTCCAAGTTGGGGTATGAGCATTGAGCTAACGACCCACCTCGTAAAAATTAGATGTTACAAAACCCAAACATAATGCAGCTAAATATCAGCTTGTATTTAAACGGCTCTGGGAGTAAGTAAGCAGATAAAGTTCCCTAATATTTATTTCTCTGCCTCTTAGGATAGGGTTGATGAAATAAGTTAACATATCCATAGTCAGTTGAATGCCTGTTGGTGGATCAAATCAAAATCTTTGCAGATATTAAGAAAATACTCCACTAATACTCTGCTTTATTGTAAAAAAAATAAAAATAAATCAATAAGTTAGTAGTTTACGGTATTTTGTGATTCATGTTTTCATTTATTTCTGTTTTTCACTTTCATTTATGCTTTTGAATTGCATTATGGAACCTTGATCTTTCTTCCAACAATTTCTAACCTTGAAAAGTTCAAAATAAGTGACTTTTATTAGCAATTTTAATAGTTTAAAATGATCTATTGTCTGAGTTGTTGTTGAATATTACCGTACAAAAACCTTTTAATAAACTGCCAGTACATTTTCTGTTATTTTAGAGACTTATTTCTCTCTATAATATTTCTTACACGTTATATTATTTCAAATTTCTAAAATGTCAATAAAAGTCACTTTGTTAAACTGTAAGAGTTAAATGTGCAACATTAAAATCATATCATGGTCCCATTATGCAATTCACAACCATAAATAAATCGAAAACTCTTGTGAAACACAAAATACCAAAACGTTTAATTAACAGATTTACAATGTAGTTGACATAGTTTGAAAGTTGCTGATAATAAAAATCTCTAAAGGGGATCATCAAAATAAAGCTTTACTAAACCATTTGGCTTTGAATATCACAATGTCCTTTACGAGAAAAATAGTTGATATGAAAGTTTGACACTTGAACCGACAAAGCATTGGTGAACACAGGCTAAGCATTTTCACACCCAGACTCATTTCTCTTAAATTTGTTCCTCTTCTTGTAACATGCAGATAGTATGGGCCTCCAGATGTATACGTACCTTCTCCTCTTTGTTGCTAATAATAACTAGATCTCCATCCAGACCCCGACAGTGGTTTTGGCTGGAGCTCCAGTTCCTGTTGTGGCTGGAGAAAACGTAGAAACTACCATTGCCTTTGAACCACTGCTCTGGCAAATCTATTCAGACACAGACAGTTGTTGATGTCAATCTAGAGGAAACACTGTGGTTTAGCTAGAAACACTTTTATAGCCTGACAAAAAGCTAACCACACTTTAACTGAGACTAAATCCACTCCTAAAATATTTTTCGAATGCCTCCAGCAGGGTAAGACAAAATTTGTACAGATTCACAAAGCAATCAGTGATTGGTTGATGAAGAAGGCACTTTAAATTATATTTCTACTAAATATTTAAATTAGGTTATGATCTGAAAAAAATATTCAGAGATGATTCCTTGGATTTACTCATTTTTTTTTTACGTCAAGTGGTTGTACTCAATTTATTTGTGTTGAATTGAAACAAACAAATTAAGTTGAACATTATTCAACTTAATTTGTTTGTTTAAATTCAACAAAAATAAATTGTTTGCAACAGTTCTGCATGCAACACTTTTTTCAGTAAGTGCTTTTGCCAAACACAATATAAGATATTTTGATGAATCTTGAAAATCAGGAGCCACTGACATCCATACTAGTAGGAAAAACAATACGAAAGTCAATGGTTTCCATCATTCTTGAAAAAATCTTGCATGCAGCAGAAGAAAGAGACTTTAAGGTCATCATTAGTTGCATATTACAAAGAACATCCAGCTGCTTTTGTATATGCTGAAAAACAAAACCTATGTTTACCTGGGCAGAAATTTATTGACCTCCAGTCCTTCTCGTATGTGCAGACTGGACCACCTTGTTCAAGTTCTGAAACTGATTAATAATGTGTACAATTAAGAATCTCATATATCACTTGAGCAGTTGAAAGTTACTTATCTTAAAAAAATGGAGCATGCAATGATCAATTTACCTGAATTTGAACAGTTTGGTACTGTCTCACAATGCATACTTTTGTCTTTTGTGAAATCTGTAAAAGACATAATGCTGAATTTAAACAAATGATCAAAATAAGTATGTAAATAAACCTCTGATATTGCACTCTAGTAACACTTTAACATTACATAAATAATGATGTCTTAAAATGTTAACTAAACATTACTTTATTATGATGAGTTAATGCACACACAAATCATAAACTAACTTTAATTACAACATAAGTCCCAAGAGTTCATGAGTAAACAACAGCTACCTTAATTATTTGTTAGTACAGAGATAATTAATGTATTATTTAACATTTAAGTTCAAGCTTACTGTAACCAACATGAACTCATGAGCTGTCAATGTATATTTATGTTGTGACTTTACTTGGAGGGGCACATCATCATTAACTCATCCATTAACTTTTCATGAACTCTTTTGTTTAAACCGTTTATGTCAACATTGGCAGAACACTTTTTTCATATTCAGCTTAGTCCTTTTATTTATCTGGGGTCGCCAAAGCAGAATGAACCACCAACTTATCCATCATTTGTTTTACAGCGGATGCTCTTCCAGCTGCAACCCATAACTGGGAAACACTCATTCACACACATACACTACGGCCAATTTAGCTTATTCAATTCACCTGTACAGCATTTCTATGGACTTGTGGGCGAAACCAGCACCTGGAGGAAACCCACGCAAACACTTTCTGTGAGGCGACATTGCTAACCTCTGCCCAACCGAGCAGCCTGACAGAACATCTTTATATTGTTATTCAGAGTAAACCCACTAGACCGATGTGCATGAGAAGTTAAGAATGGGTCAATGATGATGAGCCCCTCCAAATATAGTCATGATATAGGTATGTATTAACATGTCATGAGTTCATGATGGCTAAATTAAGCATAAACTAATGTGGTAATTAATAAAATAATTAATAAACAATCATGTAACATGTAATTAAGGTAGCCGTTATTCATACATGAACTCATGTGACTCATGTTGTAGTTAAAGTTAGTTCATAATTAGCGAATGCATTAACTCGTCATTAGTTCATAATAGAGTAATGTCTAGTTTAAATATTAACACAGCATTATTCATGTACTGCTATTGTAAAGTGTTACCTGATCTCTTATCCCCACCCGTTGACTTTACTTGAAAATTGTGTGGAAATTCAGCCTGGAAAACGTGCAACTATCATGAGGTAATTCAACTATTTTTCGTTTTGCAAAGTTAATGGCTAACTCGAGTTCAGAAAATGTACGATTTTGAAAAGGAGGGGCACCCAACCCCAAATGTCATTGGGGATAAGCAAATCATACTAAAATGTACGAATTAGATCGATTTCATACAAATTAGACACTAAATCAAAAACTTATGAATTGCTGTGAGATAGCGTTGGGAAATCCAATGCCCTCAGGGGCGGACTTAACCAATAAGCGAGTTAAGAGGCCGCTTAGGGCCCCAGGAAATTAGGGGACCTGACCAATGCCAAGAAGCTTAAATTAATTAATGAAGCTCTTTCATACATATTCTATCGTATGTTGTAAAATCTGTGTATAACTGTTAAGCATTCGTTGTTATTACTTCTTTTCAAAACTGGGGGCCCCCATAAATAATGGAGCATTCCATCTGTACTGCACATGAGGTTTGAACGCTTCAATCAATACAGTGCCAGCCAGTGTTGCCAACTTGACTTTTCAGACCAACCTAGCGCCAAATTTTCAAAAAAGCGACTAGCGAATGTTTTTAGGTCTTACTGGAGATTTTTAGAGACGCTCATGTGTCTGTGCTGTATCGTTCCTAACGTTACTCTTTGTAATGAGCTGCAGGTAATGCCGTCGGTCTCTACCATGCCTCAAAGTACTCAAAAACGGTGCAATGCCATACAGCCATCTCGAACAAGTTTGGACACCCCTGCTGTACAGTTTTTAAACCTTTTTTTTTGTGTGAATTAAACATAAATGTTCTTGAAAATATTAAAATACATAAACTATACTTTAAATTAAAATATATATATATATATATATATATATATATATATATATTTTTTTTTTTTTTTTTTTTTTTTTTTTTTAATGCTGTGGCCTGGAATTGCTTAGGGCCCCTAAATCACTATGTCTGCCACTTAAAACCACTTAAGTATTTACAGTTTAATTAATTTAAGATTCCATGTAGTTCTATGTTAATTTAATCTTTTGTTTTCCATCTTTTAGTAATCTTTGGTTGTTTGGGTTAGGACTGTGTGCATCTAAATAAAGGCAGAGTTCCTGTAAAACAATACTCACAGAAATATGTCAGCATCCCATTTACCAGCAGAGAAAGGAAGAAAAAAACTGCAAGAACCACCACACAGATATGGCTACATTTCTTCTCTCCAGTAGATTTCTTTTCTACAATAGAAAATTCCAATTTTAAAGTTGTAGACTACAAGAGAACAATTTATAAAAAGAACTTTAATTCACTAAAGTAAAGCTACACCGGTTTTGAACAAAGAATATGTTGTAAGAAAAAAACACCATATATGCTACAGTATTTTACCCTTTACAAAAAACTTTTGCGTCTCAAATGTTATGCAGTTTTCTTGTTTCTACACAAAACTCATGCAAGAATTACTTGAGTTCCCACTTCCCAGCATGAATAAATCATGCCGTTTATTAAAAAAATAATAATAATCTTTTCACTGAGAGAACTTTTTAAAATATGAACACATCAATGCCTTTTTTTTCCTAATTTATTTTTGATTAAAAACCAATGATGTCTTAAAATCATAGGTCTCAAACTCGATTTCTGGGGGGCCACAACTCTGCACAGTTTTGCTTTAACCCTAATCAAAAACAGTTAATTCAACTAATCAAGGTGTTCAAGACTGCTAGAGACTATTAAGCAGGTGTGAGTTGGAGGTGGTTGGAGATAAACTATGCAGAGCTGTGGCCCTCCAAGAACTGAGTTTGAGACTATTGCTCAAAATAGTTAATACTTGGAAAAAACTCTGGAAAAAAACCCAACTATTTGCATTTAAAACAAATGCGCTTTAGCCAACTTATCAATTATCTTGCCAACAAGCAAACAGATGGTTTTAAACCATATATTTATCAGGAATTTTGTGTAAATCTAAAATAAGTTAAACTAATTATTGTATATTTTGTCAGTTTACTATTCAATACACATTGTGCAACTGTTGTTATGGCCACTATGGGTACATTATATGCATTCTGGGAATTTGGGACACAGGAACCTGGATCCAATTTTGCGCTCTTGAGCTGGCATAAAACATGATGAAATGCAACTCAACATGATGTAGATTTCCATTCTCTATAGAGCTCAGTAATCTATGTCACGACAAGTTTTTGGACAAACGCAGGAGTTATTATGAATAAATGTATAAATATTATCTATAGGAAAAAATACAGTTTTATAGTAATATTTTTTTGTAAAAAAACACCTCACAAACACTCATAAAATAGACTAAGGTGTATAAATGAGCAATTTCACACAAGTAGCAGCGTGATATCACACTGCAACAAGTGTGACATTGCGTTTCAGCACCAGTTCGACAGCATAATTTGTGCATTCAAAAAAAGAACAGTCTCAGTCTCAGAAACCCTTTTGCATCAGTAACTACTTTCTTCCGCCATTATTAAAGTATAGTCTTTGATAATAGGCCTTCACAAAGGTGATGAGGCTTTAGGAGTGCTGATATTACTTTAATATCTCATGGTTATCAGCCAATCAGATTCGAGAAAAAAACAGAGAAGTTGATAATATGCATTCCATAACATTCTGTCTCCAGCGGTGAAGTGTAACTGAAGAAGGAGATCAAATAAATGAATGAATTTATCCATAACTGACAGGGTATCAATGAGCTGCTGCTGCATGAAAACATATGATTTTATTTATTACCTGTGCGAGCACTTACAGTTTATTGCTAATGAGTGTATATATGATACAAACAAATCAATAGATATGGATTGGAATCAGGCTCCCTTGTCCTAAACACTCAAAACCCAATGCTTGCAACACATTCCCAAGTTTTATATGCAAGAACATCAAAACAGAGCCTCGTCCTATATTTTCATAACCAGAAGCCTTTGCTAGACACAAATTTGATCAAGGCGAAAAATAACCAAGCACTTACTTCCACAAGAGTTCTTGTTCATCCATTTGGTGTTGTCATAAATATGATCGGACATGTCATTTTTCCCCATTATACGTGCTGCAGAAAGATAATGAGAAGTGCTCTGATTAGGTGTCTGTGAGCGTCAGTGTGTACACCAGTGGAAGCTAAGAGTCATTTCCTCTCAGCTGCATTGGTTATGAGGTTGTCGACTTCCTAGACATTGCTCTGTTGAGGTTTGTGTCTTGTCTCTGTAGTAATTACAGAGATAGACACAAAACATAAAAACACCGGTATTCATATGAAGTAGGCCTACTAAACGTAACTGAAATTTAAGTCAACACAAGAGAAAGAGAAGTGCTTTCCCTTTTATAAATGGATTATAACCCCTGTATAACCGTAAATAATGAGCCTTCATTTTGTTTATTAATTATTCTTAATGTGTTTTTGTTATTTGAGAAGACAAACAAACTGACATTTGACAGAAATGCAATAGAAACTCATTAAAAATGTGATCCCAAAGAGGAACACAGCAGTTAAATATAATGATATATCTTACAAAATCTTTTTATTTTTATTTAATTTATTTTTTGCTATTAAAAATAGAAACAAGAAGCAAAAAGCAAGCAATATGACATAAAAAGACACATAAAATAAATATTGCTTTGTGCTTTTCAGATACAGCAGTTGGTCTCACAACATATTTAATTAAAGTCAAGTCAAAGTTTATTTGTAAAGCACTAAACACAAGAAGTGCTTATCAAAGGGCTTTACACACATACACCATCTAAAACAAAGTATAAATACAACAGATGTAAGAGTCCTGTATGGCATTAAAAGCCAAAGAGTAAAAAAGGTTTTAAGATTAGATTTATAAACAAAAAGGGTAGTGGCCTGCCTAACATGAAGAGGCAAATTATTCCAGAATAACCACTTCAAAGGCACAAAACCAGAATCTTAAAATGTATAAGCTGTAAAATAAAATTATAACATACACCTGATTATATTAGTCTATCAAAATACAAAAAAATTTAATATTATTAATACATATTGTAAAAAGATCACACTGAAATATGTGGTGTATGCCTTCACTGTAAAAAAAAAAAAAATTTAAAAGTCATGAAACAAAATGTTTTTATGACAGTGTTTCTCTGTCAGTGTTTCTCAACCACATTCCTGGAGGACCACCAGCTCTGCACATTTTCCACACCTCCTTAACCAAACACACCTGATTCAGATCATCAGCTCATTAGGAGAGACTGAAAGAGCTGTAATGTGTAATATTATTGAAGTTTCAGCTAATTTTTGTTTAGTTGTAAAAAGTTGAATTTCATATTTTAGTCAGTTTGACTAATGTAAGTTAAGATGATCATACAAGTTTCTTTGATCCAACTAAAAAAATGCACATAATAAAACCGGAAGTCAAATTGGAAAAGTGTGGGTCAAAAGAATTGCCTGCTCTATTGTTAAAGTTTTCAAAACAGAGATTAAATGCGCACAAAATATGTCAAATAATCTAAAAAAAAAAAAAAAACATCACCACCCTCTTTGAAAAATGCTATTTTAGCAATTTACTTGGTCACACTTTATTTTGATGGTCCGTTTCTTGAATTTTAATTTACATTGCATCTCATGCCAACTAATTCTCATTTGATTATAGGTAGACTGTTAAATTGGGGTTAGGGTTAGTGTAATTTAACATGCACTTGCAAAGTTTCAGTTAAATCTCTGTTGAAAAAGCAGTTTCAGCAGATATTAAGCAGACAGTCTACTAATACTCAAATAGACCATCAAAATAAAATGTTACCTTTTAGTTTTTCTGCATGTTTACAACTTATTTAAGACACTAAATAGTGACATTAATTGAATAATTAATTGTAGCACTTTCCTTTAATCTTCACATTCCTCTTTGAGATGTTTATAAAGAATATTTCAAAAGCACATGTATATGACAAACAGAAACCTTTTATTAGGTATTTCATTACAGGCATGGAATTTCACATATGCTTCTTTCCTTCCTTAAGCAAGAAACATCTCCCCAGCTTGCCGCCTCAATTTTACCATTCAGAACAACACAGTCTTCACCCAGAGGATTTGCATCTTTGTTGTCATCAGGCGGTTTATCCCAGAAACTGAGAATAAAATGAATGAATGAATGAAAGAATGAATGAACAAATGAATAAAGGAACGACGACAACTGTGAAACTGTATAACAAGCTGCCATATGTCTGTTTATACCATTATTTTAATGTCTCCGAGCACCTCTTGTAAATGTACATTGTATTATTATTTTTAATATTACTTATTTTCATATTTTAGTTTATTTCTAATTATGTGTAACGTTTTAGTCATTTTGTTGTGTTATACTTTTAATGTTTAATTCAAAACACATGGCTGATTTTAGAAAAACTTGTTTTTTGTTGTTGTTGTTTTTGCAGAATTAATCTAATAAATATCAAGATAAATCCAAGATAAATTTTCTATTATTTTACAAAAAATACTTTAATGAAACAGTTTTGAATAACAACACATTATATTAAGATTATCTCTAAAAAATAATGATTTATGTGTATTTATGGACATTTTATCTTGAAACAATTTACTTTAACCCTTTTAAACCCTGTGTCTATTACAATGGACATCACGGCAGCCCATGTTTTTTGTGTTTTTTGAGCATTTCTAATTTAAAGCCTGCAGTCCATGAGCGTGGACAATTGTCATCCAATCAGATAGCCGTAAGGCTCAGCAAGTAGTAATTTAAAAAAAAATCCACTGAAAAGCAGCATGGCATCATTTCACTCTAGACACAGACATAAGCCACATTTACAATGTTTTTTTTTTTTTTTTCAGATTTAGTGATATTTTAGCAAATTGTGTGTAAAAAGTAGGGATTGCACATACTAATTAAAATTTTTAAATCTTTTGTAACATTGCAAGCTTTAGATAAAGCTTTAGGATGTTTTATTGGTTTAAAATCTGTTACTGAAATGAAATCTCCAGTAATTAACTTTTTTCTTTTTTTTTTGTATTTTATGTTAGTACAATGTTCGGGAAGTACTTGATGTCCAATGAACTAAACAAAAAATATATCAGGGGTGTTGAATTTTAATAATAATAATTGTGCCTCATTTATAGGAGATTGTGCCTGTGACTGTTTGTGCCTCCTGAATCAAACAATGATCTTTAAAATAATTAGGTGTAATTTTCATCTTTGTGTGTGTGTGTGTGTGTGTGTGTTAATAAAACATTGGTTACAAAATGGAAAAATTTCTCTCTCATTCACATTTTAAAAACAATAATAAGCAGAAAATATCAAAGTTTTCTTAAACATGCCATGTGGTATCAGGCTTGAGGTTTGCATCCTGAGCTAAAGCACAAAATGGTTGAAAATTATATTGTCATACATAATTAAAATCCAACGCTCAATCATTCATTTGCCTTCGGCTTAGTCTCTATTTCAGAGGTTGCCACAGCGGATTGAACCACCAACTATTCCAGCATATGTTTTATGCAGCGAATGCCTTTATAGCTGCAACCCAGTAATTCAATTCACCTATAGCGCGTGGGTTTGGACTGTGCGGAAAACCGGAGCCCCCGGAGGAAACCCACGCAAACATATCGAGAACATGCAAACTCTACACAGAAATGCAAACTGGCCCAGCCGGGACTCAAACCAGCAACCTTCTATCATATTTAAGGATTTTATATTATTTTTTATAGTGAATGGATTCAGTTTATTGTACATTATACATTTGTTGTATGTAATTCCAGTTGAAGGAACTTAAAATTTACATCGCAATTTTGTAATGCAGACAGATAACATAAACCCCCAATATATCATAATAAATATGAAACTATTTAAAAATGAAAGGAACTTTTGACACATCAGATACATTTATCAACACAGACATATAATAAAATAATACTTGCCTTCTTTGTAAATTGGTGTCATCCACCCACCGCCAATCACCTTCAGTCTGACTATCAGTTAAACCAATCCAAAATAATGCATTCAGACCAACAGTGCGGACATGCTTGGCAAGAGTTTCCTACAAAGACAGAGATTATTTAATCAATAACTTGTTTCATACATTAAAGAGACAGTTCAACTAAAAATTAAATCCACCCTCAAGTGATTCCAAACATTTATTTTAGTTCATTTTTCTGTTAAACAAAAAGAAGATATTTTAAAGAATGTTAAAAACCTGTAGCCATTAACATTTACAACATTCCTCGAATTTCCTTTTGTGTTCAAAACAATGAAACTCAATCAGGTTTGGAACAAGCGGAGGATAAATTAAAGAAGATGAACAAATTTTCATTTTGGGGTGAAGTGTGTCTTATGTCTTCATTGGAAATTAGAATTGGAATTTAGTAATATAATATCTGTGTACCTGTTCTTTATGGCTGTTGATGATGACCAGACCTCCACCCAGATCCAGACAGCGGTTTCTGCTGCTGCTCCAGTCCATCACATCAGAGGAGAAGACATAGTATCCGCCCTCACTTTTGATCCAAGTCTCTGGAAAATCTACAAATGTGGAATGTTTAAGGCAAATATTATTGCAAATAAAAATATCAACCATAAGTTACACCATACATTAACAATAACATTTTCTGTATTAATATGTTGTATTAACATTTATAAAATATTATGTTTAAATGTGCAGATACCATTTTAAAATGAAATGTGCTATTTTGCATACATTTCTAGCACAAAAATGCTACTATTTTATGAAGTCAGATTTTATATTTTTGTAATTTTGTTCAGCATATTAGAGTCAAATGTTTTGGGAAAGCTATTTTCATTACTACATAATTCAGAAAATACTGAAACAGACAAACACAGTTTTGTTTGTAGTTTAAAATATAATCAGACAAATTATGTATGAACATAAACCTCTGTTAAACCTTCAGAATACAGATCACGGTTTACAAGAAGGTTTCAAACTAAGAAGGATTGTAAAGCATTTATTCTGTTAAAATAGTTGGGTTAAAAATACTCTAACATATAACCCAACTATACATTATTACAGCACCTTCCCGACAAAAGGTTATTTTAACTCAATGCATTGGACTTTAAAATTTAACCCAATGCATTGGGTTATTATAATTAAATGTTATTTTTGTTCTATTCTGTTAATACTATTGCTACTATTACCAGTACTACTATTAATTTATAGTTTATAGTTATGGCTGGGTAAATAAATAACACACAGTTTTAAAAAAATATTGAAAATGCTTTATTTCCATTTCATTTTAGTTCCAGACACTTTTGTTAAAATAAATCAGGAATCACAAACAACGAAGAAACAGAACAAAGTGCAGACAGTTGTAAACTGAGCAAACAGAAAATTCTCTGTTGATGGAGCAGAATATGGAGCTCTGTGTGCTGTAGAGACTGTCTAGCAGCTGCAGCAGGCTCCACTCACTGTCAATGTGCAATACATTTTAACCACGTCCAAACGCTTCTAAAAGATGATCTTGGATGGTGAAACGAGTATAAAAACCACGACACGGAGAGGTAATTTGATAAAAAATTACAACAATATTATTGCGTTACAGCTTAAATTAGCTTTATAATGCAATAAAAGCTGTTTTGTGTCAGTTAAATCAGTTGTCTGTTGAAATTCAAAATTTTACCCCAACTGATTGAGTTATTAATAAATAACCTAATAAAGATAAAAAAGCACTAAATGTTTAACTCAATCATTAGGTTAAATAAATAACTCAACGTTTTTAGAGTTTATTAACCATAATCCAAATTCTAATGAGTTAAAAATTGTTTGCTAATGTTAGTCAACATGAACTTACCATGAACAACTTACATTTTTGAATCATTTTATAACAAATATGAATGAATACTGCAATAAATGTGTTATTCATATTAGTAAATACAATAACTAATGGAGCCTATTTGTGAAGTAAGACCAATAAAAGTTTGCTGTGTACACTAAAAAATATATATTTTTGTAATATTTCTGTAAAACAATTTATATGGGTTGAATTTCAAAAAACAAATTAAATACAGTAGTGTTCAACTTCATTTTTAAAGCTACCAAAGAAGGCACTAAAAAATCAGACAATGGCTTTTATCTTAAATCACTTGGCTTTATTTTGTATCGTACTTAAAACCCATAGAATTTTTTTTTAATTAATTGTTTGATATACATATTGTGAGGTATAAAAGTATTATCTGACACTTTTTTAGTGAATTGAAACCCATAGACAAAAATATATATTATGAAATGTGATTAAAAAAAATGTAATGTGTATTTTGAAGATTAATTTCCATCAAACACTTTATGAAAGCATGTCAATGCCTCAAAGAGTTTTTTAATTATTTGTTTAACATACATATTGTAAAAAATAAAAATGTTATCTGTTACTTTTTTGTATGCGAATCCCTTAATCTGCAACTATTAATGCAATATTTACTAATAACCTTAAATATATTTTTGATATTTCTGAAGAGCTTTATTCTGATGGAAAATAACATAAGAAAATTACTTGCTTTTATTTGGACAGTGAAGTGGCTGAGAGCGGTTCTTCTTATCCTTCTGAAAGAACTCCTTGATGTGAGCATCGTCATCAGTGTCTAGCATAGAAATAAATACAATTATACATTAGAAGTAATGAGCGTTGGTTTATGATTTGTTTTTTTTAAGCAAGCATAGAGAATGTGGGGTTTGTACTTAAATAGGAGCAGTTTGTTACTGGTTCACAACTCATCAGCCCGTCTGGCCCATCACTGTAATAACCTGTAAACAAACAAACAAAACACAACATATTACTACAGTGTTTGAGTTTAAGTATATTAACTATGCTATGTTAGCAAACTGTGATTAGAAGTGATTTTTTAAGTTTACGACGAACGAATAAAGTGTGTAGAATAAACAAAAACAATTTTAACGTTATTGTGTGAACGTTGTGTGAACTGTAACAAAATGTAATAACAGGTAGATACTCACACAAATAGGCCAACATGCCATTAGCCAGCAGAGACAGGAGGAGACCAGAGAAAACCCCCACACAGACGACAACTCCATTTTCAACACAGCAATTTCCATCTAAAATAACAAGAACACACACACACACAAAAATAGCTGTAAAATAAAAGATCAAAGTGATATGAATTGGTTTCCCCTTAATTGCACACTGTTACACTTACTTCCATGTTTCTGTGCTGATTTTGAGATGGATCTGGTATTGTAATAGACAGGCTCAAGCATCTTAAAGATCATAAAAGAAATGAAGCTATGAAGTTTTCATGCAGGATGAGTTTAAACTGGTGATATTTCCTGTCATCATTTCCTGTTTTATTATTAGTAGTTGAAGACATTTTGTGAAATGCTCAGTGGTAGTTATATGTGTTTATTATTATACTGCACCAAAATGGTTTTACCTCATTGCCAATATCATACTCTAATTAACTGCAATCATAAATTAATATTGGTGTTATCTTTTATGTTAGGAAAAAAATACATTTTCAGTCTATTTCTTACTGAAGCAGAGGCTTCTTGCTGTTCACACTTCACACAAAGAGATGTGACTGGTAAAAAAAAATCAGCAACCACAGAACTTTAGGTACGCTTCAAAAAATTGGCATTTGACACTGCAGGTTACTTGTTGCTATATTATAATTTTTTACCATTTTATCTTTTGGACATTTTTTTTCAATTTCGTTGCAATCATGGTCATTTTTGGTGAATAAATGATTAAAACACAGTTTTGCACTCATGACTGACCATTTGAATTATAGCACTGTTCAAAATTTATAATTTTGGCTTTTAAATTACTTTCAAATATATTTATGTACAATTCCATAATAAATATTATAAGGTCAAGAAAATACAGAAAATCTAGCAAAAAACAACAAATCTGTAATTTAACGTCCGATTATTTGTTTGTTTGTTTTCTTTACGTTAACTTTCTGTAATTGAACATCCGATATTTAAAGTTTTTTTTTTACGTTAAATTTCTGCCATTTATTCTCTGATATTTTAAGTTTGTTTTTTTTTTTTACAAAAATTTCTGTAGCTTAATGCCCGACACTTTACATTTTTTAATGGAAAATTTCTGTAATTTACCAGTCAATATTTAACTTTTTCTATTATGTAAAGTTTCTGTAATTTTACCTCCGATAGTTTTACTTTTTTTTTTTGTTTGTTTCTTTATTTAAAGTCTGATATTTAAATGTTTTTACAGACTATTTCTGTAATTTAATGTCAGATATTTTATGTTTTTTTTATAGAACGGAAAGTTCCTGTAATTTAACATCCAAGATTTTACTTTTAGCGAAAACTTCTGTTATTTAACATCTGATATTTTAATTTCTTAAGGACACATTTCAGTAATTTAACGTCCGATATTTTACCAATATTTTTTTCACAGGTTTTTTACAGTCTAGTTCAAGATTATGTAACATACAAGATACTTTTTTTATTCAGAAGTTTTTGGTATAATCTGTGAATAAAGATAAATATGAAACTGATGCAGAGAGCAAAATAAAAGCAATATTTTATGAGACTCTCACAAAAAAACACCAACACCACATCAGCCAGAAGAGACAGGAAGAGGAGAACCAAGAGAAGAACCACCACACTGACACAATCGCTCTTACCGCTGAAACATGCGAACAAATCAGAACTGTGAAAAAACTAATCTCCAATCATTTTCTGTCAGGCTGATGAATGAGCTATGCCACAATGGGGTCCTGCAGGATTGTCATAAACTCTTTCATACAATCATTATTACACAAAACTGCCGCTGACAAGAGTGTATGCATGCATGTATGTATGTATGAATGCATGTATGTATGTATGTATGTATGTATGTATGTATGTATAAACACACACACACACACACACACACGCACAAACACGCACACACATATATATATAATTTATGTTTATATATCTTATACATATTGTGGGGAGTCAACGGATCGTTCCAGAACCGAACAAGCCACAGACCATGTTATCCTTAAAAGATTGGTTGGTGCCTACGAGTCTGAGGCCGTACTCACACTAGGTACAGTTGCCTCGAACCGGGCCAAAGCACGCTTGTCCCCCCTCCCGTCTCCCCCGACGGCCCGCGCTCACACCATACCGGGCCACGGCACGCTTACGTCATCGCTGCTGCGCTGTTCAGAAGCGCTCTCTATGGCAAGCCTTTTTAGCATTTAAATCTTTGTTCTGACTCCATAAATATATTTAGAGATATCTCTAATTATATTTTGACTAGTCATAATTATAATTCGACTAGTCAGAATAACAATTAGAGATATCTACAATTGCAAATGTACTAGTACGAAATCAGATTGGAGATATCTGCAAATATATTATGACTAGTCATATTCCTCCATTGACTTGCATTGAAAAATATTTGCAGATATCTCTAAATGAGTTTTGACTCGTCACAATTGTAATTAGAGATATCTCTAACTGAGTTTTACTAGTCATACAGATGTCTTTAATTCGTAATATTTAGAGATATTTACAAATATATTTGAAGATATCTCTAATTAATTTACTATTAGTCGAATTACAGTTGTAGATATCTTGAATTGGATTTTTGACGAGTCAAAACTCAG